TGGGCATGAACCCACCGTTGTTGCACTTACTCTATTTATGACTTAACGTTAGATGATTACATTTGCTTTCGCTATAAAACGTTTCTTTTAAGTGAATTTAATTTCATCATTTAATAAAATATATCAAGGGGTTTTTAGTTACAAGCAACGCAAGGGTTTTCCTTGTAGACGACCTTAAAACCGTCTACGTAACCTCTCCAGCTCGTTGGGCCGCGGCGAACCGGGTTCGCGGGACGGAGGGCGTTACAACCGGATTGTTCCAGGTCAAGCACGCTTAACTTTGGAGTTTTTTAGGTAATGAGCTCACGAAAAGAAGATGCACCTTGTTGGTATGAGTAGTACTATCAATCCTTTTGAGCTCTTCTCATTCCCATCTTGATACGGGGTATTACATTCACCCCCACTTAGGAATGCAACGTCCTCGTTGCATCCTTTTTTTTTGAACCCATAGATCTTCCCCGCTAGGTGAACTAAGCTTTTTCGGCCCGTCACGGTCGCAGGGTTGCTCTGATACCATTTGTAACACCTCGGCCCCCACCCTGGCCGTAAGTGTCCGCTCATAGGATTGTAGACTGGCCCCACAAACCAACACAATTCTTTCCCGCACACTTTGTCCTCACTCGTGTGCGCCCAAGGAAAACTTCCCAGGGGGTCACCCATCCTAAAATTGCTCCAGGTCAAGCACGCTTAACTTTGGAGTTTTTTAGGTAATGAGCTCACGAAAAGAAGATGCACCTTGTTGGTATGAGTAGTACTATCAATCCTTTTGAATTCTTCCCATTCCCATCTTGATACGGGGTATTACAAGTAATATACGTAAGTTTATAATAAAGGTAAGTAGATTAATAATTAATTACCAATTTAAATTACTTACCTTTAAATCATTTCCAATTTAAATTAATCACGTTAGTATTATTATTATTATTTCTTTATAATCACATTTGGTAAATTTTTCATAAACGGGAATAAGTCAAAACTGTGTAACATTAATGACCTGTGCAAAAGAATTAATAATAAAGAAAGAATTATTATTTCTTTAAATTACGTATCTTTTTTAATCATTTCCAATTTAAATTAATAACGTTAGTATTATTGTTGTTGTTGTTGTTGTTGTTGTTGTTGTTTAACCGTGTAACATTAATTGCCATCAATTGCCATAATTAGGTTGGCCATTTTAACGTAATTATTTAATTTAATTATTTATTGTAATTGACTCATTACCATTTTAAGTGAACAATTACCATTGTTTATTGCAATACCAAATGGGCGGGATTAATAAAAGTAAGTTTACAATAAAGGTAAGTAGATTTATAACTATTTACCAATTTAAATTAATAACCTTTTAAATCATTTTCTATTTAAATTAATCACGTTAGTATTATTATTTCTTTACAATCACGTTTGGAAAGTTTTTCATAATTATTATTATTAAAAAAGGAACTGTATTAATACTGATTTTTTTGCCTAATTATTTATTATTATGGAGTATTATTTAACCGTGTAATAATTAATTCCGGTATTGTTAGCCTTTAATTTAACAATATACTTACCTTATTAATTGGTAATAATGAATTACCGTTTTGTTAACCGAAAAATAGTAAGATTAAAATAAATTAATAAAGGCAAGTTCACAATAAAGGTAAGTAGTTTGGCCGTGTAAACATAATTATTTAATTTAATTATTGCCATAATTAGGTTGGCCGTGTAAACATAACTATTTAATTTAATTATTTATTGCAATTGAGTCATTACCATTTTAAGTGAACAATTACCATTTTTATTGCAATACCAAATGGGCGGGAAAACCATCTCACGAATCCTTGGCTTTTTAAATAAAGTAGGGATATTACTCGAAGGTTGCCGTATTAAACTCTCTAACGCAGCGTTGCCATCACCCTTTCTTGATTTCCAACATAGTTTACGATATTTGTCTAGAATTTTTTTCGATTTTAATTTATCTAAAGAAATACTTCATCCATCCTAGAGTATTTATGAAGAAATGCGTAAAACCTTTCTTGCTTATTTACGTAATCGCAACGAACATATATACAACAACTACGGGCTATGTCTAATGCTAGTGGGCTTGGGCCTGTTACAACACAAGCTACAAAATATACATACGCTAATACTCCCCCTCAAGTTGGCGCATGAATATCTCGAATGCCCAACTTGGAGAGTAAGAATGAAAATAAAGGACGATTCAACGCCTTTGTAAATAAATTGGCAAGCTGCAAGCGAGTGGGCACGTAAGCTGTGGTAATCTCACGGCGTTGAACACATTCACAAACAATGTGGCATATAATATCGATGTGTTTCATACGCTCATGAAACACCGGATTGGTAGCAATGTAAAGAGCGGACTTGTTATCACAGAACAGTCGCGGTGTGGTTGGTGGAGTCACGCAAAGAGCTCCAAGGAGTCCCCTAATCCAGCGCACTTCTGCGCACGCATTGGCCATCGAGCGATATTCGGCTTCAGCAGAAGAGCGAGACACTGTGGTCTGTTTCTTTGTCTTCCAAGAAACCGGCGACCCACCTAATAGAATAAAATATCCACTGACAGACCTCCGAGTGAGAGGACAAGATGCCCAATCCGAATCACAATATGCAGATAACTGTAAGGAGCTGTCACTGGGAAGTTGTTAGAATAATAGACCAACGCTAGAGGGGGGTGAATAGCGTTTGATCGTAGAAATCGCAGGAATTAAAAAATTAAAAGAGAAGTAAAGAGAAGAGTAAGAGGCACACCGAATTTTACCCTGGTTCACCACAACTTGTGGCTAATCCAGCCTCCCGAGAGACTCTCTCGAGCTACACTACTATCCCGTTAAGCTTGCGGGTGCTTAACAAACCGTTACAACTTGAGAGTTCGAGTTACACGAACCTCAACGAGTCCTTCAAAGGAAACAGCCCTTCCTTTGAATCTACCGAGAGAAATACTTTCTCTCAAAGTGTCTAAGAACACGAATACACTCAAGAACGAGGCTCTCTTATAGAGTAGATTATGAGTAAACTAAGTATGCTCAAGAACAACTCAACCTTCATAAATTGGCTCTAGAAAGCTATGGAAAATAATGTTGTTTGGATGCAATGATAATATGAATAAAGTGAAGTGAATTGATAAGAAAAGCAGACCCAAACACCCCTTTTTATAGTGCCAAAAAAGGCTCCAACGGATCAATGCATTAAAGGGGTGATTAGCTTGATTTATGGGATTGAAAAGATTTGGGATCTGCAGGATATTGGCTTCCCATCGATGTTTAGACTCAACCATCGCTGGTAAAATCACTAAGCATACAGGGAATTTACGAAATCAACGGTCACCTACCCACTTTGTGAGAAATAATAAACGGTCACAAAATAAACTTTGTGAGCCAATTCGTAAGTCAACGGTCACCTACCCACTTTATTTCATGGGGAATTTACTTAAAAGTATGATAATAGTGGAATTTGATGTCACGCTAATATATATGGATAGCAGAGATCAGATGATTAGTTAGAAAGTTATGTAGGTTATGCATACCCTACACCCTAAGGGGAGTTACACGCACATGGGCCATTTTGCAAATTTTTAAAATTAAAGTGAGATAAAATGATAAAATTGTACTATCAATCTTTCATGTTAGTGTGTTATGCAAAACTAGTCTTTCACTTTAAAAATTTCATGAATATTTCTTCAAGTTAGTGTTACACCTACTGTTTGTTATTTCATTAACTTTGCTATTAATCCTTGTATCTTTTCCATTTTCCATTGTAGATAAATGTGAAGAATCCTCTTTTTTTCATACAAATAAGCCATATTTTATGTTCGTCCAATTTTAATAATAATAATAATAATAAGTTACTCATATTTTTATTAGTCTAATTTTTTAACAATAATAAGTTATTTTTATTTTTATTAGTCTAATTTTTTAAAAAAAATTAGACGAATAAAAAGCAAGAGTAATTTATTATTAAAAAATTAGACTAATAGAAATAAGAGTAACTTTTTTTGATCTCGTAAAACTTTTCAACTTTCGGATCTTGCATATTTCATAAAATAATTTAATTTGATCTAAATGAACACAATTGCGCTTACTTTTTAAAATCTAACCAAACCTACCCCAACTATTTTCTATCACTACTCATTCAAACATTTTCTGAGCCTAAATTGTTTCAATTATCGTCGTTTCACCATAGTCAAACTTCTACAGCTTTCCTTCCAAAAAGTCCAAACATGAATGGTTTCACGGGATGGCTGAAGTATTATTTGCATTATATTTGGTTCAAGGAATTTGAAGGAAAAAAGAAAAGAAATATTTTTCTCTCATTTTTCTCACCGTAATGGAAGGAGTCTGGTATTTCTTTCTCTTATTGAAGTTTGTCTTCTGATTTTAATTATTTTTCTAGCCTCCATTTTTTTCCTTCCTTTTCTCTTCTTTTCAAATTCCTTGAGTCAAACATAAAAAAAAATAAACTTACATGAAATATGACTTAACTATGGAAAAAAGAGGGTTTTTTTCTCACATGCATTTATAATGAAAAATGAAAAAAAAACGGAGTACATAAATTAACGGCAAAATCAGCGGAAAGATGAACTATGAATCCTAACTTGTCTCAAAGAACTATTCTTGAGATTTTTAAAGTGCATAAATATAACGTAACGAATTGAACGCACAGCATTAATTAGGATGTAAAGCTGAGATAAAAAAAAAAAGTGGACGGGTCCGGCGAGCACCGTACCGGCGGCCGGCCATTTAACTGACGACGACACGTTCAAGAACCATAACATAAAGGAACGAGAAGTGTTGCGCTAGGAGTACGATAATAATTACGACGAGAGGTGAAAAGGAAAAAGGGGTGCGGCGGAGGCCGGCGGCGGAGCTCTTCTGTTGACGGCAGGCACAGTAGGTCATCGGCGGCATGGTAGTTGAATTGGACGGAGAAGTTTTACACACCGGCGCTGAGTTGGGGCAACCGTTGTTCTCGCACAGGGCTAGAGAACAATTGACGGTCCCTACCCCGCCAGTGCATGGGCCGAAACCCTGCAACGACGAATCTCCCTCTTCTGAGCACGTGCTTGGGATTATACTCTGGCCGCCCCCCTTCACATGCACATTCTCTGAAATTGAAAAAAAAATTACCTAAATAGGACTAAAACATAATGACTTCCTCAATATAGGACTATATGTTTTTATTTTCAATGTAGAACCATTGGTCATTATCTATTAGTCATTATTCAACTAAATGTCCAGGATCACTTGAACATTATTCTTCTCACTAGTCATTATTAAGTCTTATTTAAGGAATAAAAAAGTTTAAATCCTACATTGGGAAATGACTTCAATGCAAATTTCATATTTCTAATCCAAAAGCTTAGGCTGATAAATAGAGCTTCATCCCTTTTATATATGCTTGTGGTATTCTTATTTATTTTACGATGTGTAAACTCAACAACTATACATATTCTACACTATTATGAGATGTTTCTCTATGCCCCGTGCTTATTCGTTCATTGCAGGCAATTTTTAACTTAGAGTTACTTATAATTAAGTCAAATATATTTTTATAAGAGTAAAATGATTTAAATGATAGATAAGTCATTTTGAAAAATATTAATAAATGGCGAGGGACAGCTAAACAGAAAAATGAAAAAAAAAATGATTTAAAAATAAGTAGCTAAAACTACTTATTTTTCAGGCTTATAAATTAGCTTATAAGCAAACACAAAACATGTTATCAGCTGATTTATAAGTTAAAAACAATTTATAAGTAATTTTAACCAGCTTATAAGCAGAAAAATACTCAAATACACACTATAAGAAGTAGTGTGACCAAACTAAAATGCAATATGTGAGCACCTTGAAGGAAAACAACCAGAAGAAGAACGAGGAGGTACATATATTTGGAGAAGTAGTAGTGCACCATTATATATATATATATATATATATATATATATATATATATATATATATATATATATATATATATATATTTGCAGTTCTGTCTATATATGTTAGCAGCTTCACAATATAATAATTAATTAATATAATGTTATTGCACTACATAAAACGTAAGACTTAAGAATATGATTAATTCAAAGGCTTTGGTGATATTATTATATAGGGATCCAAGCACCTACGTACTGACTCCACTCTCCATCACTATGGAGACAACACATACCCTAATTAACGACGGTCAACTGCCGGTGTCGGAGTCTTTATACTTGTGCACCATTATTTGGTACCTTTTTTTTTTTTGCTTTTTGAACCTTGCCATCACTTTTAAATGACGTGGATAATACTCTATTCATTCTTTCTTGATTTATAACGTTATTGACTTAAAATGTTCAAAAAATTATTGTTAGGTAGCTCCGTTTTGTGATATGAACTACTCCCTCTGTCTCAAAAAGTGAAGATGTCTTAAAAAAATCGTGTCTGCAAAAGTCTTACTCATTTCTATTAAAAACTACCTTTAATTACTTTTTACTTTATAATATCCTATCTATCATATCATACCTTTTTTCTAATAATTTATACATCACATCATACTTTTACTCATCACATCAAAAGTATTTTTAGAAAATCAACACAAAAGTATCTCTACCTTATTTTACCACTTTAATTCATATGTCCCTATCTTTCTGGAAGGGAAGGAGTAGTAAGTACTTTCAATTTTTTAAAACTTACCAATAAGGGTTTTTCTCCTTCCGTCAATCACTCCGTTAATTTTTAATTTCTTCTTCACCTTCATCACCGACATCGTCATCGCCATCGTCATATCATCATCATCCTTCATTTTGTTATTCTTCTTCCTCCTCTTCATTATGCTTCTTCCTTTTCTTCTTCAATTAACGTTCTCCTCCTCCCGACGCGATCTACCCACTAACCCACCCATTCCCTTTTGTTTTTTTTTCTATTATTATTATTATTATTATTATTATTATTATTATTATTATTATTATTATTATTATTATTATTATAGAGTATTATTATTCGATTCAAAATTATTATTATTATTATTATTACTATTATTATAATTATAGAGTATTATTATTGTTGTTGTTGTTTTTTGTTGTTGTTGTTGTTTTTATTGTTGTTAGTATTATGATTAAAATTAATTAGTAGTTTTACTACTATATTATTTTAAACAAATACTAATTCTCCCGCCAAAAAAATTGTATACCCCCATTGACATTTTCCTATCTCCACTTGAATAAAAGGAGACCAAAATATTTTAAATCTTTAACTGAAAATTAGTTTTGTTGATATATTAATGTATAATTTATCAATTTAAAATGGTTTACTCTGATATTTATTTAGTTATAAATTATAATCCATCCCAAATTCATTTACACTATTTGAACAATGTGTAAAATCTCATATTTTTAAATATGATTTTATATATAAATTGGTATAAAAATAAAAAATAAAAATTACATATTATAAAAACTATCAAAAGTTCTATAAAAAAACATGCGACATAATAGTACGTAATAATTTACAATAATAAGATGAAAATTTAACACTTTGTATTTTAACAATAAAAATAGTGTTAAATTTCTTCTTATTATTTAAAAGTACAACGTACTCCATATATTTAATAGCTTAGTAAATAACAAAGTTACAATTCTAAATTTATAAATTATACTCCTTCTGTCCTTAAAAAACTTTCCATTTTGACTTTTAAAATATTCAAAGGGAGTGTATTTTGGTATTGACTTTCCAAAAATGCACTTTGATGTGATGGATAAAGTAGGATGAGATGAGTAGATTAAAAGACAAAAAGTGTGATGTGATAGATAGGTTAAGAATTAATAGGGGTAAAAGTGACTTTTTAATAGGAAAGGAGAAATGTTTTTTGGGACGGATGAAAAAGGAAAGGGAAAGTGTTTTGTGGGACGGAGGGTGTACAAAAATTGATTATCAGAACTAATTTTCGATTAAAGATTTAAACTATTTTAATCTTTTTTTACCCAAGTGAATAATGGGAAAGGTTTTTGGGGGTATACAAATTTTTTTGGTGGGGCATTAGTGTTTTTTTAGGATTAGAGTGGTAAAACTCCTAATTAATTTTACTCCTTCGTTCCTATAATATTGAGAACCAATCTAATGGGATGACAGGTCGAAAGTTCGCGTGCCAGGGCAAAAGCGAGGGGAAGCGCCGTAGGATTCCGAAGATTGACCTCCCGTTGAATAGGTTGCTCGAGGCCGGGTCGGCGATATACATCGCGACAAGAGTATGCTCAGGGATGCCGGAGACCTTGTTGAGGAGGGTACGTTTCAAATTCCATTTGATAGGCGATCACAGTAAAAGTTTGCGTCAGCTTGGATAACAGCCCCACATAGTTTATTTTCATAGTAAGTCGTCGGATCAAACCGCTGTTGGACGGCTTCCAAAAATTCTGGCCAGGTTGCCGTAGGGGTATTGGCTTGATAGTAGTGAAACCATTCCGATGTTGGATGATCGATCAACACCGCGACCATATGCCAATGTTCCGGTTCCGGTGTGAGGAAGTAATCAAAGTATTTCTCGACCCGAAATATCCAGCCGGTAAGGTCGTCGCCTGAGAACCGAGGTGTATCCACGCGCATGCGCGAGGCCGGATCCTAAGTCGGCGGGATAGTCCAAGACGCCAGCGGGCGCCAACCTAGGTTGGCGTGAAACACGGGTCGCTGATTTTCCGCAAAGGGTGGATGCCGGGCTACTGCCAAATCTTCCAGACGAGACTTCATGTCCTGCAAGTCTCTGCCCAACTCTTCGATGGCATGCATGACGTCGATTAACGTCAAAGAGGAGTGAGGCTACTCCGAGGAAGACATGGAGAACGAATAATGAGAGCACCAGTTGATACAACCAAACCTTGTTGGCCGACCAAAGAGCTGTGCGAGAGAGATGTGTAGGGTTTTGGAGACAAACGAGAGGAAGACTAAAAGAGGGTTTCTTGGAGAGAGAGAGAGAGAGAGAGGCAATTCTTATTCCATGACCTTTTGGTTACACAAGGGCCGTATTTACAGTGAAGTTCTCCCCAAAACCTAATTACTAAATTATCTATCTTGTCGGTTCAAAAAAGGTATCGAGGTAAAGAACCAAAAAGAAACCATCGAAGGAGCTTATAATTCGCTCATCTAAGAAAATCTAAAATACATTTATAGGCTGCGTGTGGACTTCATCCACGGACCCCGTATCAGACCCGTGGGTGCTGAGGTGCCCTGTTCGTAAAAATAATGATAGAGGAAGAAAAAAGGGGGAGGGTGGGGTGTGGATGGGGGGTCGAGGAGGATAATTAAAGAAGCAAAAGAAGAAGAACAAGAAGACAAAGGAGGAGTAGAAGAAGAAGAAGAGGAAGAAGAAGAAGATATTAGCCAAGTAAGATGATATGACCGGTCACCTTTTCTCAAAGGTTACCCGGTCATTTCTTGAGCTCACCCTGTCTCTTTGGTCTTCCGGAATATCCTTCATAATACAAGGCGACATTTTGGCTATCGCCCGAAATGTGACTGGTCACTTTTTGAGGTAAGTGACCGGTCAACTTTTGACCCGTCTCAATCAAAGAGTTATTCTCATTCTGTAATCATGGAAAGTGACCGGTCAACTTTTGACCTGTCCCTTTCGGAAATTCAGGCCGGGTATAAGGATATACCCATCAAGAAGTCCTCCACTTACCAGCCTTGTGAGGAAATCATCAAGGGCGGAAAGTATATTTATGTTGACCTATCACTTTTGAAATCATCAAATCATTCCCATGACATGTCCTTCTTTGAAATCATCAAGGCATTCCCATGACCTGTCCTTTGAAATCATCAAGTCTTTCCCATGACCTGTCCTTCTTTGAAATCATCAAGTCATTCCTATGACTTGTCTTTCTTTGAAATCGTCAAGTCATTCCCATGACCTGTCCTTCTTTGAAATCATCAAGTCTTTCCCATGACCTATCCTTCTTTGAAATCATCAAGTCATTCCCATGATCTGTCCTTCTTTGAAATCATCAAGTCTTTCCCATGACATGTCCTTCTTTGAAATCATCAAGTCATTCACATGACCTGTCCTTTTTTGAAATCATCAAGTCTTTCCCATGACCTGTCCTTTTTTTGAAAGTATCAAGCCTTTCCCTTGACCTTTCTTTTTTTGAAATAATCAAGCATTTCCCTTGACCTGTCCTTTTTGAAATTATCAAGCATTTCCCTTGACCTGTCCTTTTTGAAATTATCAAGCTTTTCCCTTGACCAAAAATAAGGTTGTGGGTATCATTTCTTTCTTCTAACCTGGAACTTTGGGGTTCCTCAGACCTGACACTTTGCAGATCATCACACGTATCACTTTGGAGTTCATCAGAATTGGCGCTTTGGGGTTCATCAGACCTGGCACTTTGGAGTTTTTCAGACCTGACGCTTTTGGGGTTCATCGGATCTGGCACTTTGTAGATCATCAGACATGGAACTTTGGAGATCATCAGACCTGGCACATTGGTAATCATCAAGTCTTCCTCTCAGACATGTCCTTTTTTGAAATTATCAAGCCTTCCTCTTGGACATGTCACTTTTGTAATCATCAAGTCTTCTTCTCGGACCTGTCTCTTTTGAAATCATCAAGCCTTCCTCTCGGACCTGTCACTTTTGTAATCATCAACTCTTCCTCTCGGACCTGCCACGTTTGAAAACACCAAGTCTTCCTCTCGGACCTGTCTCTTTTGAAATCATCAAGTCTTCCCCTCAGACCTGTCACTTTTGAAATCATCTAGTCTTTCTCTCTGACTTGTCACTATTGAATTATTGGGAAATCCAAATGTAAACTCTATATAATTAACCGGTCTTCTGCCATCTAAGTCCTCCTAGTCCTCCTAGAGTACCCGGTCAAGTGCCCGGTAACACCCCTCCAAGAGGTTCCGCTCAATCCGTCTCTTTGGTCTTCCGGAATATCCTTCGTAATATAAAGCGACATTTTGGCTATCGCCCGAAATGTGACCGGTCACTTTTTGAGGTAAGTGACCGGTCAACTTTTGACCCATCTCGATCGAAGAGTTATTCTCATTCTGTAATCATGAAAAGTGACCGGTCAACTTTTGACCTGTCCCTTTCGGAAATTCGGGCCGGGTATAAGCTCTTTGGTCTTCCGGAATATCCTTCGTATAAGGATATACCCATCGATCAAATTGAATCTTAATCCTTACAAATTTCCGTCCGGATTGCTGCTCTCTATCGATTTTCTTTGCGGCTGCATGCGGGAAGGCACCGGAGGAGTGGAGGAGGGTGGCTGGCTTGCGGCGGCGTGGCGGGTTGGCGGAGGGAGGCACTGAGCTAAGGGCTATTTTTTAATGGAGAGTTTAATTTCACCGTGAATTTGACTATTTGAGGCATGAGCCACTGCATTTAGTTGGTTTTGTGGATGCTTTGTATTTATGATTTTTCCGCTTTAAACTTGAGAGTATTTTATTGCACTGTGCAAACTGCTAAGCCACTAATGAGTCCCAATTTTTATTTGTAAAAAACTTTTCATATTCATTTGCAACTCTATAATTTTTTCCTTTTTTTGTAATATTTTCAACGGAACATAGAAATATGATATTGTAATGTTTGTTTTTGTTATGTAGTATGACTTCGGTACATTGTATGATTTAATATTAATTACATTTAGAGCCTGTTGTTTAGAGCTTGAACTCTTAATTTCTAGTTTCTTCCGATTCCTTCCAGTTTCTTTCAGTTCTTCCAGTTCCTTCCAGTTTTTCCAATTCCTTCCAATTTATTCCAACATTCAACTCTTTTTTTCCAGTCCTAATGAACATGCTCTTAGTCTTTGTTTATTCTTTATTTTTTAAAATTTTTATGAACCCACTACACATATTTTCTGGGTCCGCTCCTGACTATGAGGGAGTTATCGATAGCCTAACATTTTTTTAAACTTATTTTGCGCAAATAAATGAAAGACAAGCTTTTTATTTTAAAATTTTGACTTTATGTTTTTTATACACTCTTGTCATACATTTGTATTAATCTTTTTAAAAAATAACAACTCACATAAAAGTAAGATTTTTGAAAACCGCATAAAAGTAATTTTTATTTCAAGTGACATTCTTTGAGAGATATTCTTTTTAATTTCTATCCACTATAACTTAGAATTTTTCATACTTCGTCCATATTCATACAATATTATGTTTGTGATCTTTATTGATTGGATACTATTCCACATTTAGTCCTTATCTAACGGCACTGAGATGGAAAAATAGAAGAAAGACCAAACTTGGAACGATACCCAATTAATAAGGGTTGTCAACATAATATTTGATAAATTTGGATTAGATATGATAAATTCTCAATTATAAAGAGTTTTATTTTCATAATATAACATCTGAAACTTTTTTTTTTGTATTTTCTTTGTTTTGTTAAATTGAATTCTTTATGCAAAAGAAGATAATTACTTATCTAATTGTAGTTATTACTTGTAAAATAGCTCATGTGGAAAAAAATACTTGTAGAATAGTTATAACTTGTTAAACGTTAAATAGCTAGATGTAGTAGCTGCCTCGCAAACATAAAAAAATAAAGACTAGTTTTGAAACCGGAATCGAAACTCATGGTTCTGGTACGGGTAGCGTTCTAGAATGTTCCGGTTCTCGTTCTCCCTACCCGCCCCAAAGCTTCATGTTCCGATACTGGTTAAGAACCAAAATCGTGTCTAGGGCTACATAGAAGCACTAAATTTAGAGATTATTTATTTTACGAGTTGAGCCGACCCTTATCACTATTGGGTCGTTCGCAGGCTGAAAATCAAAACTCATACCCAACTCTAACAACTTTCGGGCCCCGTCAATTACGAGCTGGGTCGTGCTGGATATTAAAATTAATGCCCAGCACGTACTTTTTCGGGGGGGAATATGCGGGGCCGGGCGAGTACCCAGGCTCTTGGTCGGGTCTACTTCTAAAATCCTACTGTTGTTGTTGTAGTAGTTGGTTACTTGGTTTCAAAGAGTTCCTCTCCACTTTTGAAGTTTTGGACTGAGGTCTTTTTGGAAACAACATTTTTAATTAGAATTAATATTTTGAATAAAATCTTATTAATATAAATTAATTCTGAAAAATTTAACGCTAAATATTACAATCAGATAAGTTTTTCAAAATATTAAAGGCAACCTCTATCATTTTCAGACCTATTTGAGAATAGCGTTAGCGTTTTGGATAAAATTTTAACGGTGCAGATTACTTTGAAAATGTTAAACGCTACTCGTAGATAGCATTTTCAAAACGCTAATGATATTTTCAAACAGACCCTCAATTATACTCCGGGGTAATTAATCTTTTCAGGCATCCTTTCTCTATAGAAAATCACAATCATTCTCCATTTTTCCCATTCCTAACAAAATTTCGGGCCTACCTAATTCTGCTCTTAAGAACAATTCAGTACTATCCAATCGGAGTAGTTATTCTACCCGACCCGTTCATTTTCTCCACAAGAAGAATTGAAATCCCAAACGGCTAGCCCGCCCCTTCATCCATCGCTCAATTTTCCTCCTGCAGAAATTGAAATTCACCATCTCCGTCTTCTTCTTCTTCTTCTTCTGGTAAACACTCTCCCCCAGCGCTCTGAGATCTCTCTTTCTCTTCACGTACACGTTTCCCTATCTTTCAGCTTCTAGGTTTACATCTTTATTTGGGGTTAAGGGATTAAAGATCTAGATAAAGCCAAGATAGGCCCTCATTCCGTGGTATGCGTGGTTTTTAATTGCTGATCATTATCCCGTGTCTGACTCTCTTAATTCGATCAGTTCTTATGTTTTGATCATAATGCTGCAGAGATAAGATCTATTAGGGTTCATCGGTCAAAAGAGGGAAAATTATGGCTAAGAATATCACTCAGAGGCCGCTGATCTTCCAAGACGAGAACTTTGATGTCTCTTGCAAAAGTATAGTTTTTTGGTTCCAACTTTCATTTGGATCATGGTTTATCTATTTCTTAATGTAGTGTCGGATATTCTTTGAGGGTGTTAAGCTTTTTTTGGGAAAAATGAATTTCAACCAAATCATTGATTTTTTTTTGTTTTGTTTTTTTATAATAGAACCCCTGGGTGGCGAAATATCTTTGAGTTCTAAACAATCAGTGGTCAAGAAAGGCGGTGCAGGGCGAAAGAGCCGTGGTGCCCTTTTTGACATTACAAACAAGTCTGCTGTGCAACCAAAGGCATCACAGAAGAAAAGTGTCTCACATAAGAAGAAACTTGTCTTTAAGGAGGATGAAGTTAACATTGAGGAGGAGACTGTTCTGCATGACCACAAGAAGTGCATTGAGGCACAAGAGGCCATAACGACTCTGGATCTTTTTGACATAGCTTTTCCTAAACTCGGTAATATCTACATTCCACGATTTCATCTAATATGCGTCTGATTCCACGATTCCATCTACTATGCTTCTGATTTTATGATGTTTTCTGATAAATCACTGTTATGATGTACTACTTCGGTCTCAACTCCCAAACTCATCTTCCCATGTGAAAATGGAACCTAGTTTTAGAAGAGTGAAATTGCGTGATTGAAATTTATGCATGGGAGAGATGAATAATATGAACCCCACAATTTTTTCCTTATAAGGAACAAGAATTATCATTTCGGGAGTTTGAAACCATGAAAGTGTGGAGATCTTTTTTTGGTTGGAGGGAGTAGTTTTCCATTATTAGTTATGTTTATCAAACACTCCAACAAGTTAACTCACTACTGTATAGGATTTGGATTACATTATACTCTGAAGTGATCAGCTCTTATCTCCCTTGACACTTAACTACCACAATTTTCAATTTATGCAAAGCATCATCATATCCATGGTATTAGTTCCTAGGTTTCTTAATGCTGGAACTTTTGTATTTTTTTTTCTTTCTGAAAACCCTGGATTTTGCATTGATATTCTCCTCAGAGATTGAGTATGAATTTGTATTATGAATGGTGAGGGATTGTACTATTAGTCTATGACACACTCATTTAGTTTTTAAAAAAAGAGCCCGGGTTGACTGATTGGAGCTACTTTCAACTACTTTTTTTTAAAAAAAAAAAAAGAGGTCAAATAAGTTTTGTTTATATGTTACATTTTGTTAAACTGACAAATATGTTTTAACATACATACTCTGTAAGTTGTACTTAAGTTTTGGACCAAGGGAGTACATGATACATTATTCAAGTTGATTAAGTTCTGAACATCCTTAATGAATTCTCTGTATATTAAGCTTGAGATAGTTTGGCTTAAGAATGTCAGATTCTTTTCCTTTGAATCCAAATGATCAAGTACCGGGAGTGCAAATTCCTAATCATCTAAAGCTAGAGGATCACAGTGCATGGTGATAGATGCATGCAATTTTATTCTTTATGATTTTGTTTTTTCTTCTTTTGTCCCCTTCATTTTTGTTAAAGTGTGATTAATTTCACTCTAAAATTTTCATCCACTTAAAGATCCAAAGTCTTCTTCCTTAAGCAAAGGTTACTTCAGGAAAAATCTCAAAACACTTTCTTCTTTTTTTATTGTTTCAGATTCAATTGAAATTTCAGACATGAAACCAGAAGAGGTGAGTGTTCTTGTCGTTCATCTATAAATCCACTGGAGCTTTTAGATCTTGTTTATCAAGCATTTGTCTTCAACCACACATATCTTTCGCAGAGCATTCACTGCGGCTACCCAGAACCAGAAGAGCTTCCCACTGCAGAGGACTCTAAATGGCTTCAATCTTGTTTGACATGGAAATCTCCTCCATCTTCTCCAACAAGCTGTGGTTCTCCGCTATCTCCTATATGGGAATTTGAGCCAGTTGAGTTTAAAATGAAAGAAGAGATTGATTTGTCTGTTTGATATGCAATTTGGCATCAGTACATCACCATAAAAACAGCCTCTCTACATTTCTTGTTGTTAGTTTGTATGGAGCCAGAGGAAACTTTTTTACATTTCTTGTAGTATATGTGTATGATTTCGTGTCTGGTGCCTGCCTATTAGTTGAGTTTTTGTCATGATGAAAATAAAAAAAAAGAACATCTTTATTCATGCAGAATCATTACATCACTACCACGGTTCATGTGACATTCGTTCTAAATGTCATGGCATGATTCGAGCCTCCAATGGAGATCTATTGATAAAATTGATGGTTCCCACATACTCCTCCTAATCCCCTCTTAAACTACCCTGCCCCCAATATTAGTATTATAAATATATTCTTTACCCTACACAACTTTAAAAGTTAGGAAGAAGGACCAAACTACGAGTAAAAGATATGAAATATCATAAAAATAGAAACTCAAAACTTAAATTCCTCTCAATAGGAGTAAATTGCATTGAAACACGAATTAGTCCAAAAAAAAATCAATTACTGTAAACTTCAATACACATGCCCGAATATCCATTCATAAGACAAGTTATAATCTTTATTCACTAGTTACATTACCACTCACATTGATTGGATGCAAATGAACACAACACTATTTCGGATAAGTATATCTGATCCCGTTGTGGTTACATTTTGTAAAATGTGTCTTAAAGTATTAAGCTAATAAGAAAGAGCACCTTCAAAACATTGGGGTCTTCTAGGCTTTTCAAAACTACCCTAAGACCTAAGTTTTTAGAAATGAAAAAAGTACTTCGTATTTTTGTAAAATCCATTTTAGCCAAAATTTAAGTCAAAATCTGATCATCATATTATGCTTATTCCTTCGGGCTACAAAAAGCATTATGAATCTTAGAAATAAATGGTATATATCTCTCATAATCAAACTATATGAGAAAAAAGCTCAAACTACTTGATAAATTTAGGATTGGGTGTGGATAATTGGATTGAGCAATAAGACATTTGGGCTGAACCATATTAAAAGATCGAATCCAATCGATTAGTTTGTTCAACTCAAGAGCTTATATACCGATTATTTTACTCTTGAACTTTCGATGTGGGATGCACTCTAACATTCCCCCTCAAGTGGACAACCGGACCATTATGAATATAACCGATTGACCACTTGCAAATGAACTCGCATTCCTTTGACTTTGTTTTTGAACGCCAACACCTAAAGGACCACGAGCCAGTGGGTATGCACTTTCAGACGAGCAATCGTATTAGACGGGCCACAGGCCAATGGGTACATACTCCATATGGACAACTGGGCTAAAGACTAACGGGCCGCTAGGAATAAACGTCTAGACGGATACCTTGACAAACGAGGTGGGCCAAAACCTGCTCCGATACCATGATAAAATTTAGGATGGGATAGAGACAATTGGATTGGGCAATAAACAGGGCATACTTGTTATCACAATATAAACGGGGAGTTGCCGCACATGGAACATCTAACGCGGCCAAGACACCACGCAACCACCTTATCTCGGCACATGCATTAGCCATGACCCGGTACTATGCCTCTGCCAAAGATCGAGAAACCATAGTTTGCTTTTTAGTGAGCCATGAGACCGGAGAACCACCCAAAAGAATAAAATATCCAATGATAGAACATCGAGTAAGAGGACAACTTGACCAATCAGAGTCAGAAAAAGAACTGAGAGCAAGATTACTATCACTACGTAATAAAATACCCTGGCCAGGATGACCTTTAAGATATCTTAGAACACAAAGAGTTGCGTTCCAATGGTCAAGACGTGGTGCCTACATAAATTGAGACAGTGTATGGACTGCGTAACATATATCAAGACAAGTAATAGTCAAGTAAAACAAACGGCCTACAAGACGACGATACTTAAGGTGATCTCGAATTTCAGCACTAGTAGAGCGAGCCAAAGCATGATTGGCTTGGCAAGGGAGTATCAACAGGTTTACACCCATCAAGATTAGCCTCATGAATAATGTCAAGAGCATACTTTCGTTGATTAAGAATCATACCATCGTGATACCGAGCACACTCAATCCCCAAAAAATAGGAAATGGGGCCAAGATCCTTTAGATTGAAACATTCATCCAAATATTTCTTAAATGAAGAACATAATGAACGATTGTTACCAACCACCGGAATATCATCAACATAAACAAGAACAACTAACATGTCAGGGCCATGTCGTAAAACAAAGAGAGTATGATCACCATGTGCTTGACGAAATCCATAACGCCGTAGAGCAATACAAAGTTTAGTGAACCAATTACAGGGAGACTGACGGAGCCCATACAAAGACTTACGAAGGCGGCAAGCTTTTCTGGGAAAGAATTGAGTATAACCCGGAGAAATTTTCATATAAATCTCATCTTGTAAATCCATACCACGAGATTCTATTTTATAGAATAGAAAAATCCATGATCGGACATGATCCTTCGCGTAAACATACGCGTACGTTCGCCTGGGGAAGAAGATAGGCGCGAGTTTGAAGAGCCTCCTGCAGTTTTAGAGTATATTTTGACGTTTATCCGCTAGTTCGAGTCCTTTAATGATTTGGACTCCGATCACGAAAATCTTAAGAATTTTCATAAAGAAATAACGTCTAAAATAAAAAACTTCCAAACTGTCAGGGGCTCTGCCCCTTGGACCCCGCCAGGGGTTGCCGCCCCTTGGACCCCGCTACCCGGGGGCTGCCACCCTCGGACCCCCGCAATGAATTTATAATATCGTTGAACAAGCGCGCACTTCGCGCCTCCTAACTCGTTTGACAACGTCTATTTAAATTCATGTCCGATCGAAGTAAATCTAATTACACAAAATAAATCGATGACACTAAAATCATCAACAAGTTAATTATTTTAAAAAATTATTGTAGTTTGTTGGTAATTCAAATTGGCGTATGTACACTGTCACTTGTAGTATAAAAGTATGATAATAATGGAATTTGATGTGGCACTAATGTTGATAACAGAGATCGGATGATGTAGTTAGAAAGTTATGGAGGTTATGCATACCCTACACCCTAAGGGGAGTTACACGCACATGGGCCATTCTGTAAATGTTTAAAATTAAAGTGAGAAAAAATGATAAAATTGTACTATTAATCTTTCAAGTTAGTGTGTTATGCATAACTAGTCTTTTAGTTTAAAAATGAGTAATTTACCTAAATATGACTAAAACATAATGATTTTCTCAATGTAGAACCATATGTTTTTATTTCTCAATGTAGGACCATTGGTCATTATCTATTAGTCATTATTCAACTAAATGTCCAGCATCACTTGGACGTACATTATTCTTCTAACCAGACATTATTAAGTCCTACTACCTCCGTCCCACTGTCTTTGTCCACTTTTAACTTTTGGAACTGTTCATCTAAGCACTTTGATTCATCACATTCTCTCAATGTGTAAGCCTAAATATAGTCATGTGTGATCTTGTTTGATTTGTCTTAACATATAGATTATTAATATATAATTTCTATAATTTTTTAATATACAAATTACAAGATAAAATGGATTAAAGAAGTGCATTGGATGGTGTGTCAAAAGGTAAGTGGACAAAGACAGTGGGACGAAGGGAGTATTTAGGGAATAAAAAAGTTTGTTATGGATAGTAGAGTAGGATAATTAGTATTATTATTATTATTTTTATTATTATTATTATTATTATTATTATTATTATTATTATTATTGTAATGTATATTGACATCCAGCTGATCAACCTGTAAATCTCATCCTGTAAAACCCCATGCAAAAATGTATTATTGACATCCAGCTGATCAACCTGCCAACCGCGAGCAACTGCAACAGATAATAAAACACGAACAGTGGCTAACTTTGCTACAAGAGCAAATGTATCAGTATAGTCAATCCCAAACTCGTGGTGGTTGCCCAAAACGACAAGGTGAGCTTTGTCATGTTCCTTAGTACCATCGAATAATACTTAACTTCATGTAAATCGAGTCACAAACCTATGTTGCATAAAATAATCGATGAATGTATTAAAAAAATATCTGGATAGTCCCACAATTTCTCCAATCATAAACCAAATTGCATTAAAGTGCAGAAGGCAATTAGATATTTACATTTTTTTGAAGATACGAACCTTGAAGAAGAGAGGTGAAAATCTCACGGGCCTGTGAGTACCAAGTGAAAACAGCAATCCCTGTCGGAGAATCTTATACTGAAGCTTCATTAACTTCTCTGATTCGCTTAAAAACAAGAACTGAGACAAGTTTCAAGCAAATTTCAACTAAAAGTTGGGAATTCCATTAGGCCATATGAATCAAGGTAGGAACTAGGAAAAAGCTGAGATAATACCTGAGAGTGATGAAAAAGAGATGAACGGCTATGAGTAACGCCCCTGAGCATGAAGAAGAGATGAACGGCCATCACTTGTCAAGATTCTTAATAAATAAATATGTGAAAGTTGAATTAATACCTACCAGCATCGTTGTCATCGTTACTACATTAAAATATCCATATAGTGTCAAACAAGATCACACTTAATCGTAAATGACAATCATGTCAATGTATAAAGTCACACACGCAAACGTATAATATTAAACAAAGTGATTATGACAAACACAACAACGTATAATGCCAGTCTTGACAATGCATAATGACAAATATGGCAGTGTATAATGTCAAATATCACACTCTCAATTCATAATGTCTAAAAACAAAATGTTAAGAAACTCTATAACTTACCAACACCATAATCATTCAATTTTAGTACCAATTTACAAAATAATTCCACAGATGCCAATATGTAATGTCACATGTGCAAATATAAAGTGGACTCAATGCCTTGCACATTTACAATAATTTTTATGACGGATGGAGCACAAAAACAACTTAAAACAATAAGAAGAACACATATTGAAGAAGCAAGCTCAAATCAATTTTACAAAATCATTTCTTAAGAAGTACAAAAATTGAATCTAAACCACCAATTTAGAATCAAATTCAGATACCAATTCAATTATTTTGATACCTTTAAGGGGTGTGAATTGGCGGCAGCGGTCATGGATCTTCAATAGGGCATCTGATCTAAACAAAAGCATGGAAGAATTTGTTGAATAAACCAAAAGGGATATACAAATGGAAAGCCAAGGCAGTAAGAGGGGAGAGCTCATGGAGGAAAAGGGGTGGTAGTGATAATGGCAGAGGGTCAACGGTGATGGCGGAAGAGGAAGAGGATCGATGTTGATGATGGTTGGGGCAATGCTACGCGAAGGTGCAAGAACAACTACTTGTGTGTATGCAGTGAACAACTACTTGTGTGTTTGGAACTCATACTTTGAGGATATAACATATGTTTTACTCGGGGGTTTTCTTTAATAGTTACACAACCACTCTAACCAAACCCCATAGTGTAAGCATGATGTTTATATAGTTCTCTTTCTAACTCTTAATCTTTGTGTCATTTTCACAAAGCTGGATCATTATGAGACAAAGGTATATATGTAATACATATGCATAATTATTTTGATACAACCATTAGCATTATATTACAGATATTATTACATACTCCGCAGTAGAATTGAAGGCCGGAAAATTAATTGAGAAGTTTTAGTGACAAAATAAATTGCATATAAATAATCTTTTTTCCATCAAATCAGCTCCGGCAGCCAAGCATCTTCACATACATACTGTATCGCAGGATCCTGCATTTGACAAAAAAAGTCTTTGTGAAACTACTAATGTAAACCTGAACAATTTAATTCTTAGAGTCGAGTAATAAATGTAAAATGTTCCACTCTCTTTGATGAAAAGATGCACACACACACACAGATATATATATATATATATATATATATATATATATATATATATATATATATGAGAGTGTTGTTACAGTGACGACAAGTTTGATACTGTCGTTCAATTTGTTCTCCCCAACGATTCTTCACAAATAGTAAATATTTGTGAACAACTGTCAATTAAAACAAATTTAACAACAGTTAAGTATAATGTCACTAGTAAGTGGAATGTGCAAATATCATTTTAATGAGATGTGTGTGTGTGTGTATTTAGAAGATTGACAAAAAAAAATAAGTGCATTGTCTGAGTTGTACATACAGTCAGATAAATATACTCCCTCCGTTTTAATTTAGACTAGAAATTGTGAATTATGAGACAAAATTCTATCTCTTGAAATCATTTAATTTAAAAATTAGTATTAAAATAAAAAAATAAAAGTTAAATATTAAAAAATTATGTCAAAAATTTTATAAAACAAATACATAAAAATTATCGAAAAAAGTATACTCATAGAGTGATAGTAAAAAAAAAGTTGTAATCAAATCGTTGGAGGGGGAATAATATGTGTACGTACGTGGATATGCATGTCGATCGTCCCATCTCTAAAGTGCTCTACTTGCGAAATTGGGAAATAATTTGCGCAAAACACTCCATTTATTAAATGCATGTGATATCTAAATACGGACTATAATCCTCCCTCCGTTCACCAAAACATTTCTTCTTTTATTTTTTTTCTCTTTCAATAAATTAAAATACTTTCATTTTCTATTAAAACCCCAGTTTCACTCATACTTTTTCTTACTATACCTATCACATCATATTTTTTTCACTAATAACTTATCCATCATATTTTACTTTTATCATCACATCAATGATAAAATTGGAAACTCGAGTACAATTTAACCATTTCTTATTTTGCCTTTGGTCAAATTAAGAAGTTTTTCCCAAATGGCGGGAGTATAACATTAAGACCATATGCTTGGTGTAAGGAATTTGAAGAAAAAAAATCTCTCATTTATTCTTACCAAAATAAAAGAAATTTGGATTTTCCTATCACTACATTTTCCCTTTCATTTCCCTTTTCTTTTCTTTTTCTCTTTGCCTAATAAGAAAATTTGTTTTTCATCTTATTTTCTCTTCTGTTTCTTTTCAAATTTAATGAACCAAACATATTATACGGTATACTACCTGATTCCGTGTATCACAAGATACTCAACATTTAATTTTATTCTTTTTGAAAAGATTATCTAACAACAACATTTAATTTTAACGTTTTCAAATATAATATATAGTACGTATCGTGCCAATGTAAATCGTAACAAATTTTTCTTAAGACTAAATACAAATAATCTTTGTACCCTCAAAAAAAACTTTTGTAATGACCCAAAAAGAAATGTAATGTGAATGAATAAATTCCCGCTATCCCTAAAAAATATTCCTTGTACTTTTTGATCATATTAAAGTTTTCCAACTTTGATTATAAAGTACTCTTTTCGTCCTACAAAACATTTCAATTTTCTCATCTTGCCCGTCTCATAAAATATTTCAATTTTCTAAAATGATCACTCCTTAATCCTACTTTTCCACATCTCATGTGTCACATCTCATCTTACTTTATGTTTTTATTACTCTTCGTTATTCTTAACTATTCATTGATGTGAAACATCACTTTTGAAAAGAAATCCTTAAGGCATTTGTAGAAGGTCAAATACCAAAATACACCTCATTTAAATAGCATAAAAGTCAAAACCAGAAAATTTTTACGAGGCGGAGGAAGAATGAAAAATATATTAAATTATAACATAAATTTAATATGATAGACAGTAGGCAGTTGAACGAAAAAGTCAAAAATGATTTTTTGGGGTATAGGTACGAAAGAAGTAAAAAAGTAATTCAAAGCCAAAATAATGTTAGAGAAACAAATAGCTATCATATTCCTTCCGTCCCAAAATATTTGTCGTTTACTTTTTCAACAGTTACGAGAATTTTGTTTATTTGTACGTTTTCATTGATTAATCTTCATGTAATTTTAAAATATGTATATTTTATTTTTTATTTTTATACTAATATTTAAATAAAATGATTTGAAATAATTAATATTTTGCTTCATTTTTTGAAATATGGTAAATATTTAGGGACGAAATGAGTAAAAATTAAGAGAATGATTCCACAATTACTCTCTAATGACATGTAGTTTTCTTAAAAATCAAAATGCATCTTCATTTTTTGGAACTCCGAAAGTACTTAGCCAGCTGGTTAATAGCTTTAATCGACCAAGTTATTGGTTTGTTCTGTCGGCTAGCAACTTGAACTAATTTATCATTTCATGATTGATTCATAAATAGTAACCTTAAAGAAAATATTTTTTCTCTGTTCTAAGATTCGATTTTCTACCATAAAAGACATACTCCGTAAAAGACTACTGTCTGCGACTTCAGTTGATGTGTGTGGGGCACAAAATCTTCTGCAGAATCCCAAAAGAATATTTTAATTGAGAGTTTACTTTCTTTCTCCTTAAAATAATGTTTTTTTGCTACTCCCTCTCTCCATAAAATAATGTTTTAATTAAAGATACAATATTATTAGAATAAATATGTCATCATTTATTTTGATAAACTTTTGATGTAGGTTTTAAATACGTAAATTATACTCTTATTTTAATTATACTTTAAAAAAGATGTGATTATATGCGTTATTCGAAAAAGAACAAATAATTTGTGCCGGAAGGAGTACTAATTTAATGGGGTGTGATCACAAAATAAAGTTTTCTATTTTTTGCAAAATATTGACTCACCAACTTTTTTTGGAGTGCTTATCAATTTTGTGGATCTTGTCACATAAAAATTTCTTTTTATTTAAAAAAATGATTGTTTAAGTACTACAAAACCACTAATTTTGTTCATATTTAAGCCCATCATGGACCTTGGGTCCATCATAGAATTTACCTTTTTTTAATTAAAGAATGAGGTATATGCGGCTCACAAGTCTTTTTAAAACAAATTTTAATTACATACTTAAAAAATCAACAAAAATAGAAGTAAAATGTATTCCCTCCGTCCTTAAAAGAATTTCTTTCTTTGTTCAACGTGCAAAACCCCATGACTTTTAAAACGCTTCTATTTACAAATTGGTAAAGAAATAAAAAATTTATATTTAAAAACTACTCCAAAATAGGATTATTAGTATTTTGATTTCAAAATAGGAATTTTTACAGTGAAAATATAGCACTGTATATTTACATTTCACAGTGTTGTTTTATATTACTCCCTTCGTCCCTTTAAACATGGGATGCTTTGATTTTGAAGAGATTTAAGTGGAGTGTATTTTGGTATTGAATTTCCAAACATGTCCTTTGATGTGATGGGTAAAAATATGATTTGATGGGTAGATTATTAATAAAAAAAAGGTATGATGTGATAGGTAGGGTATGAAAAAGTAAGGGATAAAAGTGACTTTTTAATAGAAATAAGAAATATTTTTTGGAACGGATGAAAAAAGAAAGGAGAAAGATTTTCAGGGACGGAGGGAGTATATATTAACAATATTGGAAATGTAACTCTTACTCTAGTATTAAAAATATGAAGTTCTTATTTTGGTATATTATGTACTCCGTATGTTTTACTCATAATTTAGTCTTTTATCCTACTTTTAACTTTTCAATGCTTATTATTAGATTTTGTGAAATCAAACTGCAGTTCTGTGAAATAAACTATTAATTTCATTTTGAAAGGATAGAATTTAAAAAAAATTATTTTTCTCTAATTTTATTTTATGAGTACTTTTTAAACTAATAATCTCTCACTTTCTTCCTCTAGAAAAATAATCAATCCCTTTCAAAACATTGATCCTTTATAGAAAAATCATGATAAACTATGTAAACTAACTAATTTAACCAAAAGCTCAATCTTGTTATCAAGTAACCAACTTAATCAAAACTTTGAATTTATAATTGTAGACCCAAGATAGATTGTTTATATTCTAACACGCTTTCTCGTGTGTACGCCTAGCACGTGGAATTCTAATTTTTCCTTTGAACTGGGAGTCTTCCAATTTCAAACCCGTGATCTCATGGTCAATTTGGCTTCGATACCATGCATGTTACAATTTGCTGAGCCAATCATAGCTTGGGAGACACATGCATGCGTAATAAGCCCAACAAACAAGTCCATTGGGGTTCAACCCTAAACGAAGTGCTCCAATAAAATGATAAAGGCCTGGTGGGCACATGCATGTTGATCTTCCCAAAATAGCACTTAATAATGTCCATAATGTCCTGTGATGTCGAATATTTACTTGAATAATGACTAATTCATAATGACTAAAAGTGCTACATTGGGAAGAAAAACACATTTGGTGCTATTTAGGGAAAGTCATTATGTTTTAGTGCTATTTAAGTAAATTCCTCTTAACTAAAAATTGAGTTTCATCCTTCTATATATGCTAGTGATACTTGTTGTTATGTGATATTCTCAAAACTTATTTGAAAAGATAAGTATGTACATTAAAAAGAAGTACTTCGTAATGGTTTTCAAAACAAAAAGGAGTAATGAAAAGAATAATATTACTCTGTATAACATTATTGTTATCACATTATATGTCAAATTACATGATGATTTTGAAAAAACATTTACCTTAATAAGTCATTAAATCAGGTTCGAGTTCAGTCCTGTCTGACCCAACCAATTTTATTAGCAGGTCTGCCGATTGAATGAAACTACAATGGACATTAACGGAACGATGTGCAATAGGCGACATGGATGACAAAGGGGGCAATTCCAAAGGAGAGATGGCAGGTCTGATGGGACAACAGAGTTTGATTTCGATAGAGGCAGGATTGTAAACAAAAATATTAGGAAGCCACAACGGGTGCCCCACTAATAACAATCACCAACAACGGTTCATACATACGCAGACAATAAACATCTATGAACATAGATAATTATTGTATATGTGTATTTAAATAATATCTTCATTGTCGTTTGTACGACGCCGGTAGTGAAACCTAGCATGATCCGGATGGTAAATTAGGGTTAAGAATTGGCATGGGTGGTAAGCGGTAAGATTAATTAGAGCTAGCTAGGACTATACTAATTAAACTTGAATCCTATACGAGAAGTACTCCGTAATACGTAGTGCTTCTACCGATATATGATGACAAACAAGTAAGACTTTTACACTGAAATTTCACCTAGCTAGCTAATAACAGGTTTCCATCATACACCTAGCTAGGGTTTTTATCCCTTCAAAGATGAAATCATGAAATCAATCTTAATTTCTGTTGCACCTACCCACCTGATGATGCTCAAATAATATTCAATTGGTCTCGCGTCAATTTTAGATATTAGACACATGTAATTAAAGCAATTTTGCACTTAAAACAATTTAGTTTTATTTTGAATGTTGAATATTTTTTTAATTGTATAGATTAACATTTTAAAATTAAAACGTTAAAGCGACAATAAATGGTGACCATTGTTAAACTATACGCCTAGCGCGTATAAATGGTGATATTAGACCATTATTTTGAATGCAGGCCACTTTTAAAATGTTAAAAGTAACGCCTAGCGCCAATTAATTTAATTTAACAAGTTAACTTTAATTTGGACTAAAGCTTATTTAAGAAAAAAATCATTCATATCATAATTCTAAGAAATTTAAGTTTACATCATAAAATCAAGATTCAATAAATGACATCATTGACTTTGAAGGTCTTGTGGCAGATGAAGTGGTCGTACTAACTTAAAAATATTAAAAATGGGAGCATTGATATTATTTAGGATCATGTGATTTTTTACATACACCAGCGATAATTAAATATATCGACAGACAATTATTGTTTATATATGAATAAATTATCTCTGATTATCATTGGTAAGTACTCATGGTGAGTTTGTAGTATTTTTGTATTATTTATTGAATCTTAAAATTATTGCCAGTATTTTTTTCATTTAAAATAAAAATAGATTTTGCACAATAAGAGTAGTATAGTCCAATAGGGAGATAGCTTATAGCTTGATACCTTGAATTGCTGCAACTGTGTGACGGAGGCTTTTCTTTTCCTTCTTCGTTTAATATCAAGAAAATGGCGCGGAAGAAGACGATTCGAAGTCGGCGGCGGCGGAGATTGCCGGCGGAGCCATGCCGGAGATCACCGCCTTCTTCTTCTTCTTCTTGTACGGAATCCCACGCGCCTTTGACTGACAATCCTTCACTTCCCTGAGGTACAAGCGGATGGCGCCGCTGGCGAAGGGGTTGGTCTCCGGGGTGCCGCCGTTCTCCTCGTAGGCGGCACGGAGGCGGCCGATGAGGGCGTCGAGGCTGCCCCAAGCCTGCTTGAGCGGGCAGGTGCAGGGAGCGGGCGGCTCCGGCTGCCCGTAAAACACGCAGCCTTGTGAGTGGACCTTAGTCTTCCCGAACTGGTCGAGGTACCGGAGGAAGTCGAGGACGTGGTTGCTGCTGCAGTGCGACACCGCCACCGGCGGCCTCTGGTTCCTCAGGTACTGCCCGAACGTGTTCCAGTCCCGACGCTTCTGCGACTCGTAGCGGCTTGGTGTCGCCGGACCGCTCTCTCCTCCGCCGCCGGACGATGACCCCATCGCCACCACCAACTCTTTGCCTCTATCCATCAACCAATTTTTTTTTTGTTCTTTTTCAAAAATGTTATGAGGATGAGGAGGAAGCTAATTAAGCTAGCTGATTAAGGTTAAAGGAACAGAAGTTTTGGGGAAGAAATCATTGAATGGACTCATGCGGTGGCCCATTTTATATGCTACTTTGCTCACTACAACTTTTTCATTCTTTCTTTTTTTTCGTGTCAAGATCTTTTTCATTTCTATAAAAAAAATTTGTTTATTATTATTAAGTTTTACCTTACCTATCTCATTTGATAGGCTTTTGGATGAGTAGGGATCTCAAGATTTGTTATAAAACATTTAGACTGAATCACATTAATTAAAAAATTGAATTCAATTGATTACATCTGTTGTACTCTTTTTAATTTTCGATGTGCAGTAGACTCTAACACTTTCCCTCAAGTAGATTGGGCCATTTTGAAACTAATTGGTTGACCATTTGTAAATTGATTCTCATCAACTTAATTTGTTTTAGAGTGTCAACACCTAATATAAAGGATCATCATCTCCTAGGTATGGACTTCTAGACGACCAATATAACTGAGTTAAACGAGCCAAAGACCGTTGAATATATATTCTAGTATTCCACATAAACAACTGGGCTAGAGACTAGGGTTAGCTGCTAGAAATAAACATCTAAACGGACAACTTAACAGATTCCCGGATTGTGCCATAAGACATTTGGACTGAATCGCATTAAAAAGCTAAATCTAATTGATTCACCATTTCAATTTATGAGCTTATAAACCTCTTATATAATATCCCTTAAAACTATCACTCCACCTCGCTCTAGTCCCCTGTCCTTCTTGTTAGCCGAGTGACAATATTTTTTTGCCAACCAGCGAACAAGAGTAAGGAGCAGGGATGAGATGTAGGCAGGAGGCTAATGAGGGAGTTAGAGAGTTAATTAATGAGTAGTGAAATTTGATCTAAATAGTACTAAAATAGTAAAATATACTCCCTCCGTCCCAAAAAGTCTTTCCTGTTTCATTTTTTGCGCATCCCATAAAATACTTCTATCCCGTCTTGAATGCCAAAAAACTTTCAAAATAGCTTCTACCCACAATGAAGAAGAAATATTGTAATAAATTTTAGGCATTTTAGATGTCGGTAGAAGTGTTTAATGAGATGCACCAAAAATGAAACAGGAAAAACTATTTGGGACAGAGGGAGTATGTCATTTCTCAATGTAGTATTTAAATTTTTTTATTCTCTATATAGGACTCCCTCCGTTCCGTAAAACTATTCCCCTTTCGTTTTTTTCCAATTCCCTAAAACAATTCCACTTTCTATTAAAAAACCACTTTTACCCCTATTTTTTCATACCCTACCTATCACATTATACTTTTTCACTAATAGCCAAACTTTCACATCTTACTCTTATCCATCACGTCAGGAGCAAAATTGGAAAGTCAACCAAAATTACACTTTCCTTATTTTGGTCCAATGTCAAAATGGGAAGGGTTTAAAGGAACAGGGAACAGAGGGAGTACTTGAATAATGTCTAATGATGGGAACAATGTCCAGTGATGGTGAGCATTTAGTTTGAACAATGTCTAGTGGCGCTGGATATTTAATTGAACAATTAGCAGTGGATATTGAACAATGGTATTATATTGAGAAATAAAAAACATATCGTACTACATTGAAAAATCATTATGTTTTTGTATTATTTAGGTAAATTATCATTTGTTTTAATGTGAGAAATTGTCCAACACATACATTAAATACATAAAAATGTCATAAAGTAAATAAGAAGTTTTTTCAAAACGTTAATAAAGGAAAAATGTACAATTTCTTTTTTAGGGATGAAGGTAGTAAATGTCAACCATATACACTCTTGGTCTCGAATTAATTGTCCCATTTTTTTTATGTCGTCTCAAAATAAATGGCTCAATTCCTTACTTTCCTAATAAAGTAAAAAAATATGCAGTCCGCAAATTTTCTTTTTCCTCTAATCAAAGTTTAACAACAACTCACTTTTAAATTTTCAATACTTTTTTAAACTTCGTAAAGTCAAACTCGGACAATAAATTCTAGAGAGAGGGAGTATATTTATAATGAGTGTATGGCATCACCATAAGACAATGCGGTTGGTTGATAATGATAGTATGCACTTCTATTTATGTCTTAAGAATTGAAATGACCAAAACAACCCTAAACAATGTGATTCATTGGAGCATTCCTCTAGCTAAAATCAAATGAACCAAACCGATCTAAAAGGGAACCACACAACAAAGCAAAGAAAACGAGAACAAGAACCAAATTAAAACTGACATACCCTACTCGAATAGAGTTAAGGAAACGAGAAAAGATGTATGGGACAGCACAGCACGTCAGCACCACCCGACCGAACCACATTTCTCACGAGTACGTAGTACTAACCAATTTGTCTCGTCCTAAATCAATTGTTCTCTTTTCATTTCTTGCTTTTTTTTTAAATACAAGATAATTAAGTGTAAATAGTTAAAACATTATTTGGAGTACTAAGAAATAGATTCTGAATTACATATTTCTCATGTTATTAAGTAAATAAAATAGAAACAAAATAGTGTTTCTGTTCCTAATTAAATCTTCTTCATGTTCTGACTTTTATACTACTTCCGTCTCACACTTTTTGTCCACTTTTGACTTTTGGAACTGTTCATCCAAGCACTTTGACTCATCAAATTTTCTTAATGTGTAAGCCTAAATATAGTCATGTGTAGTCTTGTTTGATTTGTCTTAACATATAGATTATTAATATATAGTTTCTATAATTTTTTAATATACAAATTACAAGATAAAATGGATTAAAGAAGTGCATTGGATGGTGTACCAAAAGGTAAGTGGACAAAGAGAGTGGGACGGAGGGAGTATTATTTAAGGGAGAGATATTTTTGTGTTAATTTTCCCAAATTACTTTTGATGTAATGAGTACAGTAGGATATTGTGGTTAGATTATTAGTGAAAAGGTACAATATTGTTTATTCACTAAATAGGATCGAGTTTGCACTGTAGTAATGTGACACTGTATATGAATATTTCGTAATACCTTTTGGAAATGTATGTGGTCATGATTGACATTGTATATCCGCTTTAGCTACTATTTCGAGAGTAAAAACATGAAATTTCTATTTTAGTATGATTTCTATGTTTTACTTCTATTTTCGTCTTTTTCTCTCGTGAGAGTCTTTCCCACATCAGAAAATTGAAAAGAATATAATCCACCATCATCTTATACAGGGCCCGAAAGATTTTGGAGTACTTGTACACTATGGAGTAATAATATATCGTTTCAAATTATAATGTTTGATTGGAAATAATCTAGTTTTTTTGTTAGTATTAGTATTAAATTAAAATGTGAGTAAAACGTATAAATTTAAAAAGTATATTAACAATTTTGGAGAACAAATAATGATATGACTATGTAGCCGTTTGGCAACAAATTTAGCGTTTAATTTTGTATTTTGAAAGAAATATTTAAATGTAACATTTAGTGTAAAAATTTTCAAAATTAATTTACACCACTAAAAAATAAATTCAAATATCAACATTAAATAAAAATAATAATAACAAAATCACCAAAAATATGAGGAAAACATAGAGAAAGTATCAAAATAAGATCCTCGTGTTTTTATCCTTAAAATAAAAGTTCACATTGTGGTAATGTGGCGTTGTATATGAATATTTCATAACACCTTTTGGTATTGTAAATGGTAATGATTGACACTATAAATGCATTTTAATTTCTATTTTGAGAATAAAAATATGGAACTCCTATTCATGTACTCCCTCCGCCCTAAATAAAGTTTCTCTTTCGTTTTTTCTTTGTCCCTAAATAAACTTTTCTTTTCCCCTAAAAAATCTCTTTTATCCCTTACTTTTTCATACCCTACCTATCACATCATACCTTTTTACTAATAATCTAACTATCACATCTTACTTTTACACATCACATTAAGGGTATTTTTGGAAAGTCAACACAAAAATATCCCTCCCTTAAATCCTCAAAAGGTCAAAAATGAAACTTTATTTAGGGACAGAGGGAGTATTAGGCATGCCTAGCTTGATATTATCAAGAAAGGACTATATATATCATTATTGTATAGTAGAATAATCAATTAAAACGAAAATGGATAAAGAAATTAGATATTCACTTAATGGAGATGGAGAATGTTACTCCGTAAAAGGGATGTAATTATACTCCGTAACATTATCTCCTAGTCTAGACTCTAGTGAAAATCTTCAACAAGATCGATGTGATGATGATGTTCGTTTTTTATTTCCAAACCGTTCCTCTTATTATATTTACCATCTCATTTTAATTCACCATCATTAATTGAAAGTATATGTTTTATTTAATTTATTTATTTTCTCGGGTATTAATGTAAAAATATAAAAAAATAAAATTTATTTATTTAAAATTAATGGTAAAAAACAATATACTCCCGTATAAGGAAATAAGTTATAATTTGATATGTATAGTAACCAAGAAGTAATTTTTTAATCCTAAAGTCTACGTATGAAATGTGAGTCGTCTCACATATTTTTCATATGTTACAAGTGATATGGTATATCTTTTTGCAAAAGATCTAGTATTTTCATGGTGTCGATGTAATAATGTTTAAAAAATAAACATAGACCCAAGGAGTCCAAAAGAATTTACGAGACATATATACTCCCTTCCCTCACCCCCCGTTATTATTTCAGGGTTTCTATAATTTCAGTTTATTTTTATGTTTTCATTATTCATGTGATAAATTATACTCCTTCCGTCCTAAAACTTTCTTCCCACTTCCCCCTTTTCCCCGTCCTAAAACTACCTTCTCATTAGAAAAAAAAAGATGACAAATGACATTAATACCCTCATGTATTTACACCAATTATCTTCTAACTCTATATTTTGAATGATTGCAAAAAAAATTCAAAAAATCTTTTTTAAGGAGGGTAAAATTTGAAGTCAAAACCAAAAATTAAAAATGAGGAAAAGTCAAACTGGGAAGAAAGAATTAGGACGGAGGGAGTATAATTGTGCTTTTTCTAGTTTGTGCCTGAGTAGATCTTTAATTTTACACAAATTGCTTTTAACATAGGGGAATTTACTTAAATAACATGAAAACATAATGACTTTTTCTAAATAGCATTACATGTGTTTTTCTTCCCAATGTAGTACTTTTAGTCATTATACATTAGTCATTATTCAAGTAAATATTCGTCATCACTGGACATTATTAAGTGTTATTTAGGGAATAAAATAATTTAAGTACTATTTAGGGAAATGACTTAAGTTTTAGTTACTATTGGTGCGGAACCAATCTAGGCCATCTCTCATTTTAGAAGACCAAATTAAACTATCGCTCTAAGAGCCGATTTAAAAAACACTTTAGTGCCAATCTTTCCTGATTCGATTCAGATATATTTGGTCAATCTTTCTGGTTTTAAGTCTTATTTAGAAACAATATTTACGATTAGCGTTAGCATTTTAATTAAAATTTTGATGATGTAGATAAACTCTTAAAATACAAACACTAATCTCTAACGCTGATAGGAAATGCATTTTTAATCTTTTTCTCAATCTCTACAAAACATGTATAGAGAAGACATAAAGTAAATTTAAAAAGAGGACCGCGGTACAATTATTGCAGTTGCGTTGCATATGTCAAAAGAAATGATTACCACAATAGCAGTGCGAAGTATGCATTAATGTTCGTGTGATTAGCATTAATATTTTTTCTAAATAAAAAAAGGGCCAAATAACAAAATCCCCTTTAGTTTGAGAAATAGGTACAAAAATTCCTCTCTTCTCAATACTTATTCTTAAAATCTTTATGATTTCTAAAGACCACATATACCCCCTCCACCAGTTTTTGGTTGCGCGTGGACATTACACTCCTGTATGATTAGATATTATCATTTAGTAGAGTCAATAACACTAATTTTTTTAAGATTATAATATAATACTCCTTCCGTCCCACAAAACACTTCTCTTTTCTTTTTTCATTTGTCCCAAAAGAATACTTCTCTTTTCCTATTAAAAAGTCAGTTTTACCCATATTAATTTTTAACCTACCTATGACATCACATTTTTTACCTATTAATCTACACATCTCATCCTATTTTATCCATCACATCAAAAGGTATTTTTGGAAAGTCAGCCTAAAATATACTTTCCTTAAATCCTTTAAAAGTCAAAATGAGAAGTTTTTTAAGGGACAGAGGGAGTATCTATTTATAGAGTTGTACTTTCAAACTTTCTTAACCTCTTATATCACAAATTTCAGAGTTTGGCATAAATGCGAGAAGCTATATGGTACAACCGGATGTACCTAGAGATAGGTACATCCGGGTAGTACTCATTCTGGAGTAGAGTAGTGTTCATTCCCGCACAAACATAATTATTCATTTTGAAATAGCGTAACACTCATTCTAAAATAACGTAGTACTCATTCTGGAATAATGTATTACTCATTTTCACACATTTATTCAATACAATAATAAAATTCATCCACAAATAACATAGTGTTCATTCTGAATTAAAATAGTATTTATTCTCAAATAAAATAAAACTCATACCATAAATAACATTTTCTCTGCGTGCTTCTCCTACGCGACTCGACTAGGGTTTTCATCCCCACGCCTCTCCCCCCATCTACCGCGGCTTTCTTCCTCGATCTACGCGACCCATCCCGCAACCTCAATTTGTAACTCCGCCCCAACCTTCGCTGCTCCTTACATCTTCCTTCTCCATCGTTTTCGTTGGATTTTCTCCACCATCGCTCCTCATCATCTCCGCTGCTCCATCGTCTTCCGTCTTCGCTGCTCCATCGTCTTTCGTCTCCAGTGGCCCAACCCGGCAAATAGAGGAGCGACAATAATTCTGACGGCTTCCGTTCCATCTCATTCGTTCCTCAATTAACCGGTTGTACAGAAAATTCGGTTCTACCGAATTTCCAGATGTACCAGGTCACATAAAATAAGGGGCTGTTTGGCAACTTCTGAATAGGTAAGTGCTGAACCAGTAAAAGGTCTGAACCATTAAGTGCTGAACTAATAACAGGTTTGAACCATTAAGAGCTAGTATATTGCTTAACTATTCAGAGGCAAATGTCTGATTAATTCAGATAAGAAGTCTTAGCCATTCAGACTTTGTATAATACTTAACCATTCAGAGGCAAATGTCTGAACCATTCAGACATCTGAACCATTAAGAAGCTGAAACAAACAGTCTGAACCATTAAGTGCTGAACCATTAAGAGGCTGAAACAATTAGCCCCTTGGGGCTGTTTGTTTCAGCTTCTTAATGGTTCAGATGTCTGAATGGTTCAGCACTTAATGGTTTTTGTTTCAGCCTCTTAATGGTTCAGATGTCTGAATGGTTCAGACATTTGCCTCTGAATGGTTAGATATTATACAGAGTCTGAATGGTTAAGACTTCTTATCTGAATTAATCAGATATTTGCCTCTGAATAGTTAAGCAATATACTAGCTCGGTTCAGACCTGTTACTGGTTCAACACTTAATGGTTCAGACCTCTTCGACGAGAGAGTTCTACAATTATTTGATTAATTTTTCTAAGCTACTTGGAGTATATCTTCATCTTCCATGGACGAGTCATTCTTCTCTTTCGCAATTCGTTTCCCCACTTTCACTCGCGGCTTGTACATAACGTTTCTACTCGTCGTCCCACGTAATTAAATAGATCAACTCCATGGAGTCGAAGTCACAGTCGAGATTCAGCCTCGGCAGACAATCGTCTCTGGCCCCGGAGAACGACGCCGGCGGCCGCGGCTTGGATCCAGTTGACTATGACGAAGTTGAAGCAGGGATTGATTCGGGGATAAGGTTGATGTATTCCGCTAACGAGGGGGATCTAGAGGGAATTAAAGAGCTTTTGGAATCCGGCACCGGCGCGAATTTCCATGATATTGATGGACGGACTGCGTTGCACGTGGCCGCCTGCCAGGGCCGCAAGGATGTGGTGGAGCTGCTGCTGGGCAATGGCGCTCGGGTCAATGTTGAGGATCGCTGGGGCAGCACGGTAATTCCACAATCTCTATAGGGACTTCTTCATAGTGCTGTGTAGCTTAGATTAATGTTCATGTGAATTTCTCAATTCATAAAGATTACTATTGAGTACTCATTCATATGCTGTATGTTTGATAGTGAGAGAATTTCAGGCCGCACACAGAATGTGCTAGCTAAAGCTAGTTCTTTCCAGTTTTAGGTAAATGAAATTCATTGTTTCCCCTTATTTTCTTAATTCAATTGGACTTAAGGCGAACCCGGGATTTGATATTGTTGTTATTTTGAAAGTCTACTATCTACCTTGTGATGTTTGTCTCCGTCTTGTGCAACGACCTCTCTTCTCCTTGGGTAGAGGTAAATCTAGTGCCAGACCCTACTTTTGAGTTGGATATGCCGGGCTTGTTCAGTCTGGTTTGTTATTATGCAGCTTGTGATGCTTGTTTTTGTATTTTGTATATTAGTTGAGTGGATGAAGATATAACTACCTTCCGGTTTTGGTTTCACTCCTCTAAACCTCTCTAAAGAGACTGATCACTGAAGCACTGTACTTCATCAGTTCATCCTGTTGTTATAAGTAAATGCATTGAACACATGCCAGTATTGCAGGTTGGCAGAAGAAGTTATTGTTATACGGAGTATTTGTGATTCCTGATTTACGAACATGTATTCCGCGAGTATTGTAAAGTACTAAAACGTACAACTGCATGCTTGGACTTGTCAGTAACTTGACTAGGAGTCTAGGACCACTGGATTTAGAACTGTCTGCAGATAATTTGACCGCTTCACTATTAAGTTAGTGCATTCAATCTGTTGTGTCATATGGTACATTGCAGCTGCATTAATGTTGATGTTAATCCAATAATTGATTTTAGTTATGTGTATATAACAGATACTCGTAGATTGCATCTGCATAGATTTAGAGGGTTAAATCTATAGTTAAGCATGATGAGTATTTTCTTTTAATGCTCGCCTGTAGTACTTTTACCTATCTTGAATGATATTGTCTTGCATAGAACCAAAGTAGAACCAAAGTTTTAAAAGTGCAATGAAATTCAGAGTCTTATATATCAGTGGTAAATGAGCTTTTAGTTACATGAATGCGTACCTATTTCAGTCAGTTAGATGAATGTGGCTATGCCCTATGTGAGCCTCCGGTCTGGAAGATTTTAAAAATAACTCACTGACATTATTTTTTCATGATCAGCCTCTTGCAGATGCAATACACTACAAAAACAATGATGTTGTCAAGCTTCTAGAGTCACATGGAGCAAGACTTCCAGTATGTCCTACGTATCTAAAATTGAATGTTCGGAACATTAAATCTACATAAGCATCTTAATTGATATTCTATGTAACTGCGAATGGTGGTCAGTCTCAGTATATGAAGTTCCTATTCATTTCAGATGGCTCCCATGCATGTCCAAAATGCTCGCGAAATTCCTGAGTACGAAATTAATCCAAAGGAGATTGACTTCAGTAATAGTGTGGGCATAACAAAGGTAAAACCTAATTGTCACACATTACAGCTCAATTGCTCAAGCATAATTCTCGCTTCCTTCTGACTTAGTCATTGGCTTTTCTTTTACGTGCCTATTTGAAGGCATGGTCATCAAAGATAAGTGTGAAGGGATGCTGATTGAATATGGTTTGGTGGATCGACTAGATTCAACTTAAGATATTTGATAGATTGGAAGTGCTAATGAACAAGAGATGTTAGGAAGTGATATACTGATAACCTGAAGTACTAGAGCAAAAGTTATTGAGAAAGATATGATAGTGTAAAGCCTTGGTGTGGATTTGGCTCTTATATCAAGATAAGAGTTGAACTTCATCAATTGAATGCCATGTAACTGACCTAATCTAGAACGTGGTTAAATCATGAGACATGAATTAACATTAATCACATTTTAGGAATGTTTACGTCTAATTCGTTTATTCCACTAGCATATTCAGATTAGTACTCGCTGTAGTATCTTCTTTTATTTTGCATGGGCTGATTGCAGTTTCACTCCTATTTTCATTCATACTTGATATATGTGTCTTCCATCAAATTTGTTGCTATTTTTCTTATTATTGCTGTTTTTATTTACTTGGGGTGTTTTCTATCGATGGAGCCAAAGATTCACTATTCTTTGGCTTTGCGGTATGATGGAATAAAGCAAAATGGATCTTTAGATTGTGTGTGCTTCTTTTAATAGTGAAGTAGCTGTTAGTCAATGTAACCTTAGGCGTTCATCATGGGTCATCTGGAAATAGCCGTTTTATGTCTTAAGCATAGGGGTTAGGCTACGTACATCCGACCCCCCTTACCCCGCAATAGATGGGAGCCTTTAAGGCACTGGGGTAATGTTGTTCTTTTGTATATACTCGGGGCATTTAATATTGAGCTTTAGATGCTAATTTAAGAAATGTATGTCAGGGTACATTTTGCATTGCTTCTTGGGGTGGAACTCTGGTTGCTGTTAAGAAATTTGGTGAGGAGCTCTTCATGGATGAAGAGAAAGTGTGGGTTGGTTATATGCTTTCAATGGTGATATTAAACTTTACTTCCCTACAATTGTTTTTACTTGTTACGAATAGCAGCCCTTGATCTTGTTTCTGTTTGTTTCTCACAGCCAAGCATTTAGGGATGAGCTTGCTTTACTGCAGAAAATACGTCACCCAAATGTTGTTCAATTTCTTGGGGCTGTTACTCAGAGTAGTCCTATGATGATTGTTACAGAATATTTACCCAAGGTACTTCTATTTGGGGTTCTTTGGAGTTTTGTGTTGGCGGTATTGATAATCTTTCCAAAAAAAAATTACTTTCTATTTTCCTGCTTAGGGAGATCTTCGTGCATTTTTGAAGAAAAAAGGTGCACTAAAGCCCATAATTGCAGTCAAGTATGCACTGGATGTTGCAAGGTTAGCAGACATGAGTTTCACACTAGCCTTGTGACAGATAGTTGATATGCATCATAAACAATTCCTTTATTAGGAGTGTCTGTAAATGGATATGAATGTAATTAAGATCCAATTCACTTCCCAAAACCACAACACCATGCAGCTCATGTGAAGGAATATGAATGGTATCTGATCACTTTTCTGTTTCTAGGGTTTGAGTCCATGACCTAGCAGGGAACGCTGGATTACACGCCCAGTATTCTTCGTGTGTGTGTGTGTGTGTCTGTACCCCACACCCATGCAAACTCACATAAGTGTTGTGTTGTGGAGCTGCCTCACACAGACTTGCAAATATGACATGGATCAAATTATTTATGTAGTATTTGGTGTAATAGTTCACATTTTAATAATTCAGTTTGGTTGCAATAAGGGGTTGTCCCATGTCAATTATTTTTTTGTCACTTCTACGTTTTATAATCTTTTTTTATTATGCTGTGGCAGAGGAATGAACTACTTGCATGAACATAAACCTGAAGCTATAATCCACAGAGATCTGGAGCCTTCGTGAGTTTCTTTATTATTTCAGTGGGTTGCTTTTTATTAAAGCTGGTTGTCGTGATTTATGCTGAAGTACAGAATCAGCATTTATATTTGATGTTAATACTTCAATTGAATTGGCAGAAATATACTACGGGGTGATTCTGGACTTCTAAAGGTTGCTGATTTTGGACTAAGCAAACTTATGAGATATACAAATGCGATAAAAGAAGATAAGCCTTTGACAAGTCAGGAGACTTCGTGTAAGTATTCTCTTCAATGGGAAGCCATCGAATCTAGCAGCATCTGTACTTAGTTACCTAGAAGCTTTTATGAAACATTGATGTTGAAAATTTTATGATATACGTAGTATCATACAAACAATTGCATTCTCAACTCTTATATGATGTTGATTCATAGAATCATATTTAAGCTCGATTCAATCATCAATAAATACATCTTTTAAAGTACTATTAGAAAATAAAAATAAATGCATGAAAATAAAGTATATACTTTGTTTGTTATTCTGAATAATGCACTTCGTATAACATTTGAACGCCATCAATGACATAAAGCACTTGATGTTATTCAAGATGTTAGATGGTCTCAACTCTCAATGGTTACATGTGGATGAAGCTCGGAAGTTGTTTTTGTATTTATTATCCTTGTCCTTGATACCATTATTAATGGGGTGGAATTTTTTCCTAATTTATTGCCCTCGGACAGGGCGATATGTAGCTCCAGAAGTTCTTAAGAATGAGGGATATGATACTATGGTTGATGTTTTCTCATTCGCACTAATTCTGCAGGAGGTATAGTCTTACAATTTGTCCTTCATTTCTCCTAGTCAAGGGTGTCAGATGTTTTTTTGTCTATACATTTGTGTGGATTGTGAAATCATGTCATGTTACATGTTTACCACAGGGTAACTACCCTAAACTTTCCATATAAATTTACAGATGATTGAAGGCTGTCCTCCTTACCCAACAAAGCCAGACATTGAAGTTGCCGAAGTGTATGCTGCGAATGAACGTCCACCCTTTAGGGCCCCAGTGAAACTTTATGCTCATGGACTCAGAGAGTAAGCCATTAATTTTTTGTTTCCTTTTTGTTTTTGCATTTCATTTTACTTTGATTTTATATTGGAAGATCATTGGCAGTTTAAGTATAACTCTTAGACTCGAAAATGTTTTTCCGCATATCCATCCTTACCCTCTTATTCTTCCCTTTTGTTTCGGACAGTCAAACAGGAAGTGAGGTTGTTTTGAAACTAGTGTCTACTGTCTATGGTAGACAAACTGCTAAATTACTAGATAATTCTACGCACGTTTCTTGAGACAATATGAAAGAGGAATTAACAACAAATATTTATTTTAGCTCTGCCATTAGCACTTCTAATGTTAGAGTTTTTGAATCAGTTGCCAAACCAGTTATTCACTTATTCCTTCTCGTCAGGTTAATTGAAGAGTGTTGGAGTGAGATTCCCTCTAGAAGACCAATTTTCAGGCAAATAATCTCCAGGCTTGAAGAAATCCATCACATTCTTGCTCGTGCTAGACGTTGGAAGGTACAGAACCTCGCCCTCCCTTACCCCCGTGCTCTTTGTGCACTTAAATTTACAATTTTAAGCTCTAGTTACCTATTCGTATGCATAGTTGCTTGATTACCTGAGTTACTAATATAGAAACAGGCTGTCCAGTAAAACACCCATGAAGAGATAGGATGATAATAAGTTGAATTTGTAAAGGTTTACCTGTAAAAGTCTTCTACAGTGATGCTCATTAAAATTTACGCTCCTTTATTTTGGTCGTGGTTGCATGTTTTAATACATCAAAAAATTCTTTATCTTCCTTGCAACTTGCACATGCTTACATTTGGGACAATTTGTGTCACTTTCAGGCAAGAGCACTCAAATGCTTCCAGAATTTTGAGGCCATCCTCAAGATTGATCAATCTAATTCAAAAAGTCGGTCATCACGCTCAACCACTTGCAGTTATTAACTGCAGCAATATGTGTTGCTGCATATCTTTACGTCCAACAACAATTCTACACTTCGATTATCTCAGTGTGAGTTAATTCTTCAATTCTTTTAAACACGAAATAGCTTTTGCAATAATATGTTTGTTGAATCACTGATTGCCTTACATTCAATTAATTCTAATTTTTACACAAACTCTCATAAACCATTCCCACATTTCTCTCAAGCTCTCCCAACCATACATTTCCAGGGGGTCATTCTTGGACCAAAGGTCTAAATTCTACTTTTACCCTCCTTCATGTTCTCTTTCGCCTCTTTTAGAGCCTGCAAAACATGTCAAAGACCATAAGCCTTTCAAAATTACACCCCTAATAAAGTAAGAGTCGCTGGATCTTATCAAAATTTTTACCGCTGTGATCACTTTGTTGAACGCCTCTGGTCCATGTGTGTCTATGTAGTCCTCCACTGATTTCCTGGCATCAAGGCTCATCATCTGCATGGCCTTCCTATGTGTCTCCGAGTACTTTGAGCTTACCTGGCCCCCGATTCTCACGTGTTTACTTATATAGTTCTCATATATATAAGCTGCTCCATTGAAACTTGGCAGAACCAACCACATACAGAGCAGGAGCTTGATGAATGCCCAGAATGGTAACCTGAATATAGGAATACATGAAACCTTGTGTTGTACTCGTACAGTTTGACTTTTTTCGAGTCAAATTAGATGAATTTTAATCTTCCGGCACATAAAAATCACATTGCGTAGTGTTGTAATACAATAAAATAAATCTTTGAAAAAATTTCAATGAAGTAAATATACTTAATTCATTTTTTGTAGTAGTGGGTTACCATTGTAGGACCTTCCAACATGAGAGCTCAAAGAGGGTAATGAAGGAGTAGAGAATCCAATAGGTTAGCCATTGCTGATCGTCCAATGTTGTGGGGCTCTCTATAGCTTTCATCGATGAAAACCTGCTTTCATTCCAACGAATCTCCTTTAAAAAGCCAAAGAAATGGGGGGGGAGACTTTTTTTTATCGAACTGCATATTTTATCGAGTTTTGATTTGATTGTATAAGCATAAGAGCATTTTCAATTAGCATTCGCGTTTCGAATTATATTTTAATGGTGTAAACTAATTTTGAATGTTCCTGTTAGATAGTTATTCAAAAATGCTAAAGTTGAACGTTGAAGTTATTGTAAATCAGCACATAATATATACGCCATATAATTAGATAAATAAATTAGAGCGAGAAGAATGGTTAATACTCACAGAGGAAACAGAAGCATCACTCCTGGCCTGGTTTTTCAACCAAAAAAAAAAAATCTTGAGTTAATAATTACTCAAAGGCATGGAAGTGCTTCTTTTTTTTTGTTAAATTTAAATAACAATAATTAATTATTGGAGGGGGGAAATTAAAAAAAATACCCCACTAATGAATTCAGATGTCTAAAAACAGCAGCTAAAGCACCCATGATAAAATTATTACTCTGATTTGAAAGATTATTCGAATGAAAACTGGAAAAGCTGCACGAGTTCCCAATCCCCGGTTAGATGTATTTATTAAAAAAAAGAGGAAAGAACATCTTTAAAAATTAATCTGTCGAAGCCTTCTTTTCTCCATCTCCAAGTAAACTGGGCGGCAAGCTATGGCAACAAGACCCTTGGACCTCACATCTCTATTTTTTTAAATAAAGGAAAATCCAATCCTTGCTTGGAAAGACTATCTTTAATTAACGTTACCATTTTAGATTATTTAATGGTGCAAATAAATTTGAATAGAAAAGTTTAAAACTAAGTGCTCCCAATAGATAATTTTTATTAAAATTTTAAAGTTAAACACTGGAGTTGTTGCCAAACGCTCACTCATAGTACTACCTCCGTCTCAAAAAAATCTTTTCAATTTGAAAAAAAACACGCCTTAAAATATGTAATTTTGGTATTGTTTTCTAACTTTCCTTACTTTATAGTAATAGGGTAAGATATGATGTACTCCTTATTTAATAGGAAACATAATATTTATTATTAATTACTATCCTTATTCTACTCCCTCCCTCCACCTGTATTTGTTCACTTTCATTTTTGCACACCATCCAGTGCACTTCTTTAATCCATTTTATTTTGTAACTTGTATATTAAAAAATTATAAAAATTATATATTAATAATCTATATGTTAAGACAAATCAAACAAGATCACACATGAATATATTTAAGCTTATACATTGAGAGAATTTGATGAGTCAAAGTGCTTAGATAAACAGTTTCAAAAGTCAAATATGGACAAATATAGGGGGACGGAGGGAGTATTATTTTCTTATTTTATTGTTACTATAATTCTTCTTTTACTTGGATTAGAATTTTCTCATTTAATCCATATATATATGGATGTATACTTCAATACTCAATAAGACTATTTATTATCAAATTGTATCATGGAGCTATAGTTTTCTAAAACATAGACTCTTGTTTTAGACCGAGCACATTGTCGGTCTCTGTTTATGACGGTCGATCGTTCGACAGCATGTCGTCATCGACCAATCTCAACGAGCGTGTCTAACAACCGCCGTCCATTATCCCTCTTTCTCTCTAAAAAAAGTCATTATCTCTCTCTCTCTTCCAAAAATATCATACGCGTGATTGAAAACAAGAAAGATGAATTTGTTTATGTTTTCTTCTAGAGTTCTGGAGCATAGAAAGTGGTAGAGAAGCAGAGAATGACCCAAAAGGAGAAAAAAAACTTCTTGTCCTCGCTCAAATCGCCAACACCCTCACCAGATAAAACTCAGCAAACGTAATCTCAAGCTTGTTCGTCATACAACAAAGATCTAGTTTTCTACTTCTAGAGGCTATCTTCACAAAATTGCTTCTGCCAGCTCAATTCCAGTACCTGAGCTTCAAGCTGCTTCTCGTTACTGATGATCAGCTTGCGGGAGGATAATAGGAAACAAAATATTTATTATTAATTACTTCCCTTATTTCTTTATTTTCTTATTGTATTATTACTATAATTCTTCTCTTACTTGGATTGGAATTCTCTCATGTAATCTTTATATAAAGGAATGTATCCTTCAATATTCAATAAGATCAATTATTATCAAATTGTATCAATATTATATAGAATAAATGAGTTATAATTTGAAAATTATACTAAAATTGCACATTTTTAAAGCGCGTGATTTTCAAACCGGAAAGGTTTTTGAGACCAAGGGAGTGATGTACTTCATCCCAAATTAGATATCTAATAAAGTACCCCATCCGTTTCAAATTAAATTATCTTTTGTAGTTTACAGTGTCTCATTAAGTTATTATCAATTAGATTTATTTAAAAAATAAATAAATAAATCACCATAAAGAGAAGTAAAACATAGAGAAATAATCAAAATAAGAACTCCATGTTTTTATCTTCAAAATAGAAGTTTGTATTGTGATAATGTGACAGTGTATTTGAACATTTCGCAATATTTTTTAGTATTATATATTGACATGATTGATATGGTACATGCATTTTAACTCCTATTTTGAAAATAAAAAATGAAACTCCTATTTTGATATATTTTCAATGTTTTACTCCTACTTTAAGTTTTTTTCAAATAAATATGAAATTTTAAAAAATAAAATTTATTTATTTAAAAATATTACACAAAAAGTTCTATAGATGAAGTAATTATTAAATATAGAGTAAATTACATGCAAAAAAAAGGCAAATAAAGGATAAAATTTAAGTATATGAATAGAAAACATGCATAGAGAAAACATGCAATTGAAACAACCTGATTTGATATTTGCAAGTGAACTTATTAGGGAGATTAAAGATGGACAGCATTGTGTATGTACATTGTAAAACCAAAGCCTATCATACACAAACTCAAATACAACTTTCCAAACAAACTTTTACACTTGTAAAAATGAAAGCAAAAAACAGGGAAAGGAAATTACATTTAAAAGAAGAAAAGAAAGAAAGAGACATCCACATTACGGAACAAAAACACATCTTGTCTGTCACATTACTCACATAACTATCTCTGGCTTCAATATGCTGGATTTGATCTCCTTGTGTGGCAAGACCACACCCCCATTACTGTATATCTCATCGCAGACATGAACGTCCTCCCCGAGGATGGTCATGTTCTCCACGCGGGCCCACTGCCCCACCGTGGAGTGCCACCCGATGATGCTGCTTGAAATGCAAGCGTGCTTCTTGATGCGGACCCCACGCATGACGGTGCAGCGGGACAGCCTGACCCCAGCCTCAATGCTGCAGCCCGGCCCAATCAAACACCCCTCCCCGACTTTTGCAGTCTCATCGACAATCACGTTTCCGACAATGTGGGGCCCGAAAGCCAATTTGGATGAGGATTTCTTCCTCAGGGTGTCCAGGTAGAGTCTCAGCCCGGTGATGTAATCCTTGGGTTGCCCGATGTCCATCCAGAAGCCCGGAAGGACCATGGCAAAGAGCTTTTTCTCTGCTGCAATTTTTGGAAACACCTCCTTCTCGATCGAGGTGGGTTTTAATTCAATCCGGTCTAACACCGAAGGGTTGAGAAGATAAATCCCAGCATTGATCATATTGCCAACGAATGTTTTTGGCTTCTCCACGAATCTGTCCACTTGGTCGGTTGAATCTTCCATGATAACAACACCATACTTTGAAGGTTCATCAACCTATGTCAACAGTGTTATACTTAGAATTAAGGCTCCCCGTGAAAACATTTTCTGGGATTTCTTGTGTTTGGAACAGGAAAATGCTCTGGAAAACTTTTCCGGTGATTGGCACCATAAATCATCTTTTGGAATGGCAATATTTTCCTTGATCCTTTGGTATTTTGTCAAAAATGATGTGTTTTGAAAGAGGAAGTCATTTTCTTCAAGGAAAAAAAAAGTTTTAGCATTTTTTCTATTTTTGGAGATCAAACATTATACTCCCTCCGTTCCACAAAACTCTTCCTCTTTCGTTATTTTTGCTTTCTACAAAACACTTCCACTTTCTATTAAAAAACCACTTTTACCCCTACTTTTTCATACCCTACCTATCACATCATATTTTTTTACTAATAACCAGACTATCACATCTTACTTTTTCCCATCACATCTGAGGCAAAATTGGAAAGTCAACCAAAATTACACTTTCCTTATTTTTCCCCAAAGTCAAAACCGGAAGGGTTTTGTGGAACGGAGGGAGTACAATATTATGTATAGAACAATCTTTTCTAAGGAAATACTCTCCTCAGCCCACAATATGTTATTTTCCTGCAACACAACGGGGTCTTAATGTCAAAAAACAATCTTTAGGATCCCAACCGGAAAATTAAGAAAAAACAAAATTCCACGGGAAGTGTAATTCAAGATTTACCCTTGTTACCAGTATGGAAGCCTCACCTCCATGTGCCTTGTGAAATTCAATCATCTCTTTGAAAGGGTATTCACTGATGACATCACTGTTAAGAACAAAAAACGGCTCACCAGACTCATCCACCAGTTTGTCGCTGGCCAGGGCAAGGGGACCCCCGGTCCCAAGCGGTTCAATCTCTTGCGAACAAGTAATCTTGATCCCAAGCTTTGATTCAAAAAATTCAGCATCACCTGCATGCATATAAGATGCACTTCTTATTGAATATTCCAGTCACACATTAAGGGCCCAATTGGTAAGGGCATTTGGCTAACATGGTTAAATCTGTTGAGTTTTCTGAAAGAAGGCATTGGTGGTAACATTTCAGCCAAATAAGCACATCAAAAGCAACTTATTCTGCTTAAGAATAAGCAGAACACGCCGAATAATGATCAGAGATATATGTTATCAACCTCAGGCCGGTAGTTAATAGCAAGAACCACTTCAGTCACCCCAACGTCTTTAAGTGCCTCAATCTGGTCATCGCGTGATTTAACAAGAATTACAATGTGAAAACAGGAGCAAAAAAGCACTGCAAATATATTTAGAAATTACGGTGCTTTCAATAGAACACCTGGTGCAGAATCATAGGTTTGTTGGCAAATTCAACAAGCGGCTTAGGTACACTCAGGGTCAACGGCCTCAGGCGGGTGCCAAAGCCTCCGACAAGAATAAGGGCCTTCATTTTGAGAATGTGATGCTTCTGGAAACAAGAATTTACGTTCATTAATGCCAAAATAAGGAAATGGAAGGCACATATTATAATCGGCTAAGTTCACGTGTATTTATCCTAGCGAAAAGGAAAGAAACGTGTACAACTATGAAACAATGTAAGCACATTCGTAAGGAAGAGATGATGATCAACGGCTCATATTCACACGAAGAAAAATGGTACTCCGTAAAAGACTCTAATAAGAGACCTTGAGTCTAAATTCCAGCTACTGAACATGTCATGTCAGAAGCTTTTAATGGGAATTGTGAGTTGATGAAGAAGCTTCAGTCTCAAAATTAGCCTTGAAATTGAATACTGGTTTTAACTGAAAATAGATGTTAGAAGTTGCAGCAAATGTAGATCCATTGTTGCATGATAATTGAGTCACATTTGGTCGATGTAGCAGAGGAGTTTTAAGGCTCCGTTTGGTAGCACAAAAATATGTGGATTTGGAATTGGTAGTGCCAAAAATGTTCTATCCAAATCAATTTCATAGAATTTCAACTCCTAATTCAATTTCAATTCCGTCAATTCCGTGTACCAAACGGACCATTTGGTATAAGGAATTGGAATTAAATTGGAATTGAAATTTCATGGGATTCAATTCCATAGAATTGAATTCTGTCAATTTCAATTCATTTGGTATAAGGAATTGGTGGAATTGGAATTAAATTGGAATTGAAATTTCATGGGATTCAATTCCATAGAATTGAATTCTGTCAATTTCAATTCATTTTTTGCACTATCAATTCCGAATCCACATAATTTTTGTGCTACCAAACACCAGAATTGGAATTGAAGTCCCCAATTCCAATTCCATAGTTTGAATTCCATGTACCAAACAGGACCTAAGCAAATTTAGATCCACACATAGTTCAAAAAACATTTCTTGAAAAGCATTAATAAGATAATCATAGGAGATGAGTTCCCTAAATAATACTCCGTAGAAGTAAGTTCTACACTAGATCCTCAGCGAAACAGTTCAATTCTGTTTAAAGTTTTCCCCAAAATCATTGAAGGAAGAAATCCTTATCCTTATATGATTAACAAGAAAAGATCCTAATCGATATAAATCTAGAGTTTTTAGGCCATTACCCTTGAAATCCGTCCTAATGGGACTCAGCTAAACTTGTCTTCAGAAACGCGAATGGAATTTGTGATTCAAACACCGCTTGGGGGATTCATCAGCGCCGTTACTATGTCGAAATTTCATCAGCGCCGCCGTGCAACTAATTGAGCAGTGAGTATTATATGATGATCTGACGGATTAGTTGGAAATGAGCATTGGCAGTGGCGAGGCAAATGCCTGCCGCTCCATGCCCCATCACCCATTTACCTATTTTGCCATATCCTATATATATATATATATATATATATATATATATAAAAGAGAGTTTAGTTGTTGCAATGTTGACATGTGGCATGCCACATGTGCATCCACATCTGTACCCATTTATGAAGTGATATATGCATTGCACCTATTTTAAATATCTTTTAATACATTTGTATAAAATTTTTCATTCCTTAATAATTCTGAATATATATTTCACCATTGTAAAATAAACTTCGTATTTTGAGTACACACACATAAAATTAATTTTATACTATCCACAGCTTATTTTAGTTTATTACTTCTCGAAAAATGATTGTATAAATTTAAAGGGTGACAAATGACATTATGACACATATATATTCTCTAATGATGTATCATTATGCATTTAACTCACTTTTTATTATAATATTTTATTGATTCAAACCATTTCTATTTAGTACTTAATTCAATGATTATTAATTTTGTAAAATTGTTTTTTTAAATTAACATACCAATATACTCTGTATGTTCCATCAGTCTAAAACATTTTTTGTCACTATTAGAAACTAAAACAACTAAAATTATATTTATAAAATCTCAAAAGTTTAGAATATATACGAGCCCGTGCGAAGCACGGGGTAANTTATAATATTTTATTGATTCAAACCATTTCTATTTAGTACTTAATTCAATGATTATTAATTTTGTAAAATTGTTTTTTTAAATTAACATACCAATATACTCTGTATGTTCCATCAGTCTAAAACATTTTTTGTCACTATTAGAAACTAAAACAACTAAAATTATATTTATAAAATCTCAAAAGTTTAGAATATATACGAGCCCGTGCGAAGCACGGGGTAAACACTAGTATTCCTAATAGGAGACAAAATATGTCTTTTTTTAAATCTTTTTATTTACAAATTTTTACAACAATAAGAAATAAAAATTATTCTCTCCATCCACAAATAAACTTTACATTGCGCATTACGGTGTTTGACCGAAATTATTTTCAAATCATTTTATATCAAAAATGGTGTAGAATTGAAAAATAAAAATTACGGAGTACATATTAAAAAACTATATCAAAAAATCTACAAAACTAGAGGTGGCATTACTATATTATTTTATCAAATGAGTGACGAAAATAGGCCAACAAAGTGAATAAAGTTTGACCCTGTGAATAGTGAACGTAAAGTTTATTTGTGGACGGAGGGAGTATATATTAAAAAGCTACGTCAAAAATTTTATAAAACGAGAGGTGTCAAGAATATTTTATTTTGTCAAATACTCTATGAAAACACATAAATAAATAAAAGTTATCGCGAGGAAAGAGAAAAAATTGTAATTTTTTTCGAGACGGAGAGTATTTCATTTAATTGAGATTGCAAAATTTTGTTTCGAACATGTTCGGAACTGTCTTGTTGTCCAGTATGCATATACTTCTTCCGTCACATAAAATTCTTCCTTTTTGAAAAAAAAATGCAACCTTTAGATAAGTAATTTTGTTGTTATTTCCTAATTTTGCTCTTAAATTACTTTATAATAGAATAATATGAGATGTATGTGATAGACGAGTCATACTTAGAAAATAACATCAACATTATTCATCTTAAAAGCACATCTTTTTACAAACAGGAAGAGTTCTAGTGGACGGAGAAATATGATATATCTATCAATTCATTTCTATAAATGAGATAACACTCTCGAAGATATATATAAATAAATGTCTAGATTTAAATATTAATTCACATCGTTTTTTATACAACCTCATAAGATTTACTCCCTTCGTCCTAAATTATCTTCCCAATCACTGTTTACATTATCAAACGTTAATCATTTTCTTTCCCTATTTTCGTTAGTTATTTGATGAAATAATATAGTCATATCACCTCTTGTTTTGTATAACTTTTGATGTAGTTTTAAAATATACGGAGTATAACTTTTATTTTTTAATTTTACATTTATAATTAAATAAATTGAATTGAAAATAATTTTAGTTAAACTTCGTAAAGTGAACTGGGAAGATGATTTTAGGACGGAGCAGTATAAACTAAAAAAATCTATCTAGATAGGAGTAAAAAAGTATGAGTCTAATGGCAGTGTGGTGTAAGAGTACACGGTGACAGTATGATGGAAAAGTGATGACAGTGTAATATATCAATGTGATTTATCAATCGTCGGTCATTCCGACGTTACACTGGTGACCGGCGTCAACGGATGACAATATGACAGTGATAGTGTAACAGTTATAATATTGCAATGTGGTGAGTGTGTCAGTGTAACAATGACAGTGTGAACTCCTATTTTGGTCTTAAAAAGCTTATTATGACTCTCATTTGGATATTTTCATAGTTTTTTAGTCTTATCTAGGGACTTCTCCCTAAACTAAAATAATATGTAATCCGTCCCTTTGAAATCTTCTCAATTGTCTTTTCATAGTCTCCAATTAATAATCAATATATTAATTTATAGATAGATATATATTGTAAAAATATAATGTTTCAAAACTATGTTTTATAATTAACTTATTAATATTAAATATATATCACAATTCAATGTGTTTTTTTGTGATTTGTAATTAAATTTCAAAAAAGTCAAGGGTGTGTCTCGTGAAACAAGATATAGATTTGATATCTCCGGATTTTAGAATTTCTTTTGGTATTTGGTGAAACCAAAAAAAGATATCAAATTTGATATATTCAGATATCATAAATCCTTCAAACGAAGGGTTTCGATATCTCCCGGATTTTGGAGATATCAAAATGGTGATTTGATATCTTTCTCAACCATTAATCATTCTCCGTCGTGGCTACCATTGTCACCACGAACCAACCCCGTTGCCGGTCACCTTCGCTTATCACCAATTAAATTACTCCCTCCGTTTCTCAAAACGGTTCCTCTTTTGACTTTAGGAGAAAATAAGAAAAGTGTAATTTTAGTTGACTTTCCAATTTTGCTCTTGATGTGATGGGTAAAAGTAAGATGTGATAGTTTAGTTATTAGTGAAAAAGTATGATGTGATAGGTATGGTATGAAAAAATATGGGTAAAAGTGGATTTGTAATAGAAAAAGGAAGTGTTTTAAGAAAAACAAAAAAATGAAAGATGAAGGGTTTTAAGAAACGGAGGAAGTATAATTTTAATTCTCTCCAAACAATTTCGTTTCAGATTTCAAAATCCATATTATTTCTCCCAAATTTCATAACTCATATCTTATCATATCTTCAAAATTTACGAAACATGTCCTAAGGTCAAAAGACAATTGAGAAGATTAAAAAAAGGATAGATGGAGTAGTACTTTTTAAATGTTTGTATGTTTTAATACACTTTATTTAAGAATGTCTTAAAGATGTTTATATAAAACTTTTTAATTATTTTTACATGTTAACAAATTTAAAATTCTTAGGTTTATAATAAACTAAGAGTTCAAATCTCGATGACTCAAACAATTCTGAATTATCTAGATCTTGAAATTAATGGGGAAAAATAGAAAACATCGTGTCCCAGAACGTTCCAACCCATTTTTAAAACAGAAATAGGGCTAAGACTACTAAAAATCCAAACTGTTATGACCTATGTCCACCCCTACTCCATTTTGAATGTAATATTGGATAAAAAATTACTCTCCCCTCCAAATTTAATCTTTTTATTTAGACTTCTCCTCAATTTTAAGAGGTGTATTTGTCTAAAATACCCTTACCAAAAAGTAGAAGTATGTGGTTGTTGGAATTTTTTAATTAAGATGAGAATATTTTTGTCCAAATAGACGTGTATATAAAAATAGAAAGATTAAAAGGGGGTATTTTTAATTCAATATATTTGTTCAAAAAACTAATATTTAAATATAATACTCCAGTATCATAAAAAAATATGGAGTATTCACTTAAAATAAAAATGTGGTTCTTTTCACATCAACCATCGATATCATATTATGACATCGATTTAATTGGAACATATATGTTTGTTTAACAAAATAATTGATGGTTCCTACCTCTAATCCTTAATCTGGGCCGCACCTGAGGGAGGTCGGGCGGGCGACAACCCTGGCCCAAGCCTCCTAAGTTTAAGAGGCGCCAAATATTTTAAATATAGCATTATGAGTAGCTTAGAAATAAAGTTTAAAATTCAAAACATATTTTTTAATCATACTTCTTCATATTTGAAAATAGAAAATTATTGTACAAGATACTGCTAATTGATAGGCGTGTCGTAGCACCTACAAATTAATTAATTATTTTCCTTAACTCTTAACCCCCTTTATGAATTAATATTCATTAAAACATATAGATAGGGCAAGTAAGGGTCGATCCCACGAGGAAAGATACTCTTTAAGCTATGAAAATCAGTTCACTTGTCACATTTATTGAATAAAAACTAACTAAAACTAAAAGATATGGGGGGTTTGAATGATGATTCTAAAAAGATAAAAATGCAAATAAAATAAAGATAAAGGATAACAGATACGAGACGGAACCACAACAGCAAGCCAAACTCAGAAGTCACTCAAGGAGAAAACAAACACACAAAAACAATCACACATTAAACTTTATAAAAACGTAGACAATAATAATTAACTTAAACAATTTTGAAAATACTTATAGTTTTTAATAGAAAATAAACTGAACAAATCTGATTAACTAATTAATTATGTCTTGATTCTGAAATTAAACTGCTAATTAAACTCAGGGTTAGGCTGAAGAAGAAGTCCACCAACGGTTCTTCCCTATTTTCCCATTAATATTAACTTATGTTAAGACCAGCCCTAACTCTAAACCCTACTACCCCTAGCAAACCAAAGACCAACCCTTAAGTTACTACTAAGAATAGCGCATTAAAATCTTTGGAAAACATCACCATAACAATCTTGCAGTAACACTACGGTTATTTAACAAAATCAGTTCGAGAACCTTGATTAGCAAAAACCACTTAACGAGGCAGCCAAGACTAATCAAGTGACACTTAGCTTCTAGAAAAGTTCGGCTATTTAAAGCACTTTGGACTTTAAAAGAATATCAATTTAAACTGGATTAGGCGCGCGTTCCTAATTTGGTC